CCATAAGTGTACCTGTGCTCGGATCTTTAGGGTAGTCTCCCGCATTCCAGGCTGCGGGGATTACGAAGCCAGGCAAAGGGTAATAGCTAAATAGGTGAAGCTAAAATGCATCACAAGGTCAGAAATAGAATAAACATGAAAGTACGGTGACAAGTGAAATTAGACTATTTGCAGACCTTGTAAGCACTACCTCTCATGTGAATGAGATCTGCAGGTGCCCTTCTTTCTCAATGTGCGTAGAAGCCCTGGCCCCTTGCACTGCTTCCTGCTCTAAAGCAAAACCACTTTTCAGCAAAGAGAATGTATGACAGCCTGAGGCAAGGGGTGAAAAAGAAGAAATATTCTGTGGAGTGGGAAATACATCTAGGTTGAAAATAGGGGGGACATTACCTGGCAGGGATAGAAGTAAGAACCAATTTGTATTTTACTTAAGGAAGCTTAGCCCTTAGGTTGAATAAACGATGTACTTACCAACTAATTGTTACAATAGCATCTTCCAGCAGAGGGCATACTTTACATTGAAATAGATCTAAAAAGGCCTTCAACCAAGAGGTTTTTTTCATTTGAATTTTTTTAACTTCAATATTTTTGGTTTCTAAATGGTTTAAAAATATTCTAAAGTATTTAAAGTCTAGAAGATGTTAAATGTGAAATTTCTCAGATTCCAGTTAATATTTCTGCCTTATTAGTAAAATATTCAGTTGTGATTGCAAAATGAGGCATTTTTTCCCGCAGCTTATGGACTGGTCTTAGACACTTACTATCATTGTACACAGAGCTGTTCTTTTTTTGTGCTGTTTACAAAATTATTACAGAAAATCCTATCTTTTAATTGGATGAGTATCATTTTCTTTCATTCCAAAAGAGTTTGATATAAATAACTGCTTTTTTTTTTAACAGTTAGAAATTACCAGCATTTTCTAATCTGTTTTGTAGCCAGCTTTGATATTTTCCCTAGAGGAAATGACACCTATATAAAAGTTAACTAAACTTATTATATAATATAACTCCAATATTCAAAGACCATTTAAGTAGCAACTTCATGAGAATTTAAGATTTGTTTCTCTTCATGATTCATTTCCTTTATCTAACGGAATCATTCTCAAGATAAATGAGAAAGTAGAAACTGCTATCTATATTAAAAAAAAATTTTAAGAAAAAAAAGGTTAAGTCATTTGTTAGCAGTGGCTGAGCTCAGATCTGGAGACCGATCTGCTTGACTCCATAGCACAATGTTCTTTTCATGGCAACACCCTGCCTCCAAGTGACTACTCTATTTTATCTGATCTATTTTAAAATCATAGACATGACTTTCTTCATCAGGACATAAGTCCAGATTGACATACTGTGAAAAGTGCAAAGAACAAAACAAAATAATCCTATATAAATCAGTGGCAGGAATTCTTGACTTATAAACTCAATAGCCTGGTTTAATTTTGGCATCACATAATCACTTGATCTGACTTTATGTGTGTGTGTGTTTGTGTGATTTTTAAAACATGACTTCTTTAAGTGAATGCAGGAAGAAAATCTCTGGGGAAGACATTCTTAATGTTATGGGAGATTCAATATATTTTCTTTTATTATTAAAGTTATTTCCTTTAGTATTTCTCTTTCTATGAAATAAAAAAATTATATCAAATGCATAAGAATTCGCTGCCTAGGAAACAAAATTATTTTTGTGTTGAGAAAGTGGAGATTTTATATATCCTCAAAATGACAAAGAAATAGACCTCTATATATTCACTTTCATTTTCATAATTATCTCTAGCAGAATTATTCCAATTAATTTTGTTTAACAAGGATGGAAGTGTTCCTCCTTTTATCTGCGTGCAGAAAAGTAAATTTCAAAATTTGTGTGGATATTTAAATACAAAGTAAACGAAAGTCTATTGATGAAATCAGAAATGTTAGCAAAATAAGACAATCTCTCTACTTCCCCCCCAACCCCCTTGGGAAGATAAACCGTTTCAAGATTGATAGAAAATTTGACATTACAATGAAAATGTCCATATGCTTGAAAACAACAACAATAACCAACTTTCATTTCACTTAACACTTGGCTATAGGATTGTTTGCTTGTTTATAAATCTTCGCACAAATCATCAAAAAACACTGGAATACCAGGCTTGGATTCAGAAAATGGTGACTTCTTGCTCGGCCCCATTCTAGCTGTGTGATCAGGATAGATCATTTAACTTCTCTGGGCCCCACTGTGTCATCTGTAAAACTAAGATGATAATGGATCTACCACATAGGATGTTGAGGTTTAAAGTGTAATTTACATCTGTGAAGGCACCGAGCTCAGTGTCTTCCTGACACATTGCAAATTTGTTTGTAAGATCAAAATAATCCATGTAATACACTTAATAATACCCAGTTTTTGGTAGCAACTTTCTTTAATATTTATAAATTAATCATGCACATTGCACTAAACAACTCCCCCAAACTTACATATGTTAAAGCAAAGCTTGGGGAAAACCTTGACTTTACATATATACAAAGTACTTTTAAGATTGTTGTTTAACTGCTAGCTATTAGAAAATGAAATGAAAATCAAGTATAATTTCCATTTGTATTACACTTAGTGGGAAACGTAAAGAATCAGGGTTAGAGTTTAGATAATACTTATTAGTATTTTTTAGTATTTTTGGTATTACCTTTAGTTCTCATACCATATTTAAAACAACAAATGAAAAGCATGTCAAAATTTACTTTTTTGCTTCGGAAATCTTAGTCTATATTTCTAGATCTAGAATTATCCTTGCAATGACATTTTCCCCATCTCATTTTACACCTTGCCTTTTCCTTATAAATCATATTCTCTTTTCATCAGTACATCTGCCCAAAACACTCTTCTGCTTGACAGTTCTACCCCACACTCGCCTCTAAGCTTCTAACAAGGCATTCCTCTGGGAATTGCAAAGTGCCATATTTAAAATCTCTCAGTGAGATATACAGGTCTTCCCTTGTGATCATAAGGGATTCCTCAAATCTGAGTTTGAGAGCTAATCTACGACAACTGGTAGGCACAGTATTTTCACATTAGTATATTTATTTTGTGCTAATATACTTAAACAGTGTGTGTGTCCATTGAGAATTTTTCTACAAATTTCTTATCAGCTTTCTTTTAACTTTTAAGAAAGATGTCTTACATATTTGATTGGCATCGGCTGTAATGCCATTATATTTCCCGCTGACTAAGTTTATTCAAGTTGGAAGGGAGATGTCACAGATGTCTCAGATGCTCAGGGAGTACTAGTCAGCAATAAAAAGGAACAAGTTGCTGATATAAACAATGTGGATGCATCTCAAATGTCTTATGCTAAGTTGAAGAAGTCAAACAGAGGTTACTTACTGTGTGAATCCAGTTACGAGATGTTCTGGAGAAGGCCAGACTGTAGGGACAGAAACTAAATCAGGGACTGCTAGGGGGCAGCAGGAGAGAAATGACAGCAAAGGAGCCGGAGGGGACTTCTGAGGTGATAGAAAAATCTTGCTTGTGATGGTGGTTGCCAAACTGTATACATTTGTCAGTTGTGATGGTGGTTGCCAAACTGTATACATTGTCAGGCTCATCAAACTAAACCTACCTAAAAGAACAACCTAAAAATAGTGATTATAAAGATATATAAAAAGATAAATTATACCTCAATGAACCAACTAAAAAAATAATAATAATAACCGGTTAAGGAAAAAGAAGATACTTGTAGTTTTGAGGAGTTGTACGCTGTCTCTCTCCAGAGAAGTTTTATTGAAAATATACTTTGTGTGTTTTTCGACCATTTCTATTTCTAGCCCTGAATGTGTGACACTCGGACTAGTTTTAAGTAGCTAAAGGCTACTTTAATGCAATTTATTTAGTGCATTTGGGAGCTTTAGCACGAAGTGATAATTATGTAACAAGTATAAATATGAAATGTTATTAATTGTAAAAACATTATTTAACGGAACTCGTGCCCTAATAATACCCCAACTCCTTGATTTTTATTTCATTTTCCAATCATGAGCAATTGAGCTACAGTGCTAAGACCTGATTGTACCTAAGATTACTTGATGGTTATCAAATTCTGGGAGGCGAATTGTAACAGCCCCACTTTAACTAATGGCAAGCCAGGCTCACAGGAACCTCAACAGCAAATTTCTTAAGTCCTGATTCCAGAGCCGACGTTTGTTGCTATCTTTTATTTACTTTTACCAGTTTAGCAATAGTTCTGATCCTTGTGGGTAAGATTGCATAAGTCCTTGGCAATAAACTGTAAAGAGGGAAGTCTTCCCTAGAGGGGGAAAAAAAAGATTTTCAAAAGGAACTGATACTGAGTACTGAAAACCAGACATCAGGATTAACAAATTAAGGGAATGCTCTTGCCGTTCATCCTAACTGTAACTTTTTGATGGAAGCTTAGTTTAATTGTAGCAAAGGAAAACATTTATTTCCAACCTCACATAAGCTTCCAGTACAACTGCAATGCTAGGCTTTAATGAGATTCTTTTTGAGCAAATTCTTTTTGAGATTTTTAAAGTTATGTTTATCACTGAACTGTTATTTTCATAACTGATTAACAGAACCATGTACTTTATTAATTTTTTATACTTTATTAATTCCCTACCAGATTATGTTAAAATAACTCAGTGGTTACTATATAATACTTTGTGTTTCAATGCCATTATCAAGCGTAGATTTTCTTTTCTTGGGCAAAATTTCCATGTGGGGGGACAACAAAAGTGATAAATGTTTACAAGTTTGTATTTACTCTCATATCGGACATGCGGTAAAGTAGGTACATGCGTTTGATTCACTACCCAGCAGCTGCTCATCCATAGTGGGGTTTTTAAATGTTGCTTTTGCCAGAAACTCTTACCTTTTCTTCATAATCATCTGGGTGTGCCTTTTCCACTTGCACTGAACTGTATGTACTGTGTGCTGTAGAGGTGTGCAGTTAAAATACGTTTATTCTCAGAAATATTTTAAAAATATTTTAAAATGTTTTCCTTTGCAGAATCAGACACAAGTTTGGCAGAAGGAAGTGTCAGCTGCTTAGATGAAAGTCTTGGACATAACAGCAACATGGGCAGTGATTCAGGCACCATGGGAAGTGATTCAGGTACTGCCTAACTGTTGTGTAAACCTTAAAAACTGTGAAATAAGACGCCATATAGTGGAAAGCATGGGGGCTGTTCGTACCCTCCCTAATGGATTTATGCAATTAAAGCAATTCTTTTCTACAGTTGAAGTCATTTTGGAACTTTGCCATTCACTTTCTTTAAAAGTATAACTTATAAAAGTCTTAGACTCAAGCTCTCTCATTTTTGGTCCAGTCCTTATCTTTTTTGGTGTAGATAAGAATATGCATATGCCACATTCCATAGAGTCAGGTCATCTGTTTTCTTTATGCCCTCTGTTTCAGTTAAGTCGACTGCATTTAAGTCATGTATGCAGTTTGGTACGTGTGTTCCCGTACCCTACTTTTTTTTTTTTTTAATCAAAATACATTTTAAATGAAAAAAATTAACATGGTCAGTAAGAAGATTGTGACTCTAGATTAACTGCAGGTAAGAAGAGTCCTTTTACTTTTTATTTTTTAAGTTTTATTTTAATTAAATTCAATTAATTAACATAGAACATATTATTAGTTTCAGAGGTAGAGTTTAGTGATTCATCAGTTGCATAGAACACCCAGTGCTCATTACATCACATGCCCTCCTTAATGCCCATCACCCAGTTAACAGGAGTCCTTTTAAAATTAAAAATTAAAAATTACACATGAAGTTAAAAGAATTTCAATTTGTCTAAATAGCCCTTGCATAGAAGTAGAGTTTCCAAAAAATATTTTTGTCACTAAATGAGGACTTTATTAGGTGTTTCCCAAATTACTCTATTAGTTGGATATCACACCAACAATAAATGAGAGCGCCTCTTCCCAGTCCCACACTTCAGCAATACTTCCTGTTCTCAGATTGCCTAAATTCTGTCAGTCTGGTCAATTTCCTATTGCTTCTTCCTGTTGTTTGAATGTGCAATTCCAATGATTACTACTGAACTAAAATGTTAACATTTTCTAAGAAGAGGTGATAGATCCTTGGGTATCTGTTGTAGACCTTTCCATATTTGTCTGTGCGTTTGAACTATTTCATAATTAGAATTAACAAATTATAAGCAAACAAAAAACGCTTTGCAATGTGGCCAGCTAAGAATCAGTAGGAAACTGGCAAATTAAGAAACACAAATTACTTTATTATTCATTTGTTCTCTGATTGAGTTGTAGAAAACACTTGGAAAATATTGTGTACGTCAGATTCCCCTGCATTGTCAGAAGAATTACAGAAATTTAGCTAGAAGAGTCCTTAAGGGACAAAATCATTTACATAAAAGAGGTGATCTGCCCTAAAAGCTTTCCAGGATTTTAAAGGGTTAATTCATTTTCTGTTTACTGCACTCAGTGTTTATTAAGTTATTGCCCTGTGCTTATTTCTGTGGGTTGTATTTGATTTTTCCATACTTGTTATACAGTTGTTAGATTTAATAATTAAAATTTCTATTAAATGTTTTTGATGTTAGAACTCAAAATATGCTCTAGCTAAATTTAAAGTCTTTATGGTTGTTTTAAGCTTCTGGACCTCATCCTAATTTTTGTTTGTCTAAGTAAGGGCTTTTCAACAATATTCATTCATTCAATAAATATTAAATGGGTATCCTCTATGTGCTGGGCATTTTGTCTATTTAACGCTGTTAGCAAATGTAACTATTTGCTGATTTTCAGTCCTCAATGTGGCATGAAAGACGTGATAAATCTGAACTCAACCTACTTTTAAAAAGCAAATACATTTTCAAAGGCAAATACATTTGAAGACAAACACATTTTCAGAGGACACCCACTGATGTTCTAGATGGGGTCAGTGCTTAGAAACAAAGAATTACTTTGCATAGCGGGTAGTAAAATTCTAAATTTATAAAATTATGAAATTCTTTTCCCTCAGGTACATGATATAGACTGAAGTAGAAATCAATGCAGAAAAAAGGATTAGATAAACTGCAAATTGGTAAACATATATTGAATTTCTGAAAAGCATTACAATGTTTGGGATAATATTTTAACTTTTGAAGTTGACATCAAAGGGACTCTATCCCATATGTCCTTTGTCCACCTTCAACAATTACATAGTGGGACATAAGGATCATGGATGTGACCCACTACCATAACACTATGTTCCTCTGTAGAAGTGTTACATCATAGTAAAACATATTAATGATGCTCTTAAAGTTTAAAAATTCTCATTATGCTATGGAAGGCTTTTTTGTTTTTCTGTCTCTCATTTTTAGAGAGATATACTGCATCTCACAAAGTGGCAATATATTTGGCAATACACATTGGCCTGATATGTAGAAAGTGTTTCCTTACTATTTTGAGGTAGTACCTATTAATATTTGTCCGGCTGGAATGGCGTATTTTTCCGTAGTTACATACTATAGGTAAAGGAATACTTTGTCGATTTCAAACACATGCAGTGACAGACCTTTTCTCTCCAAGAATAACTCAGCTGTCAAAATCAATGTGAGAATGAAATGTGCCACATGGTGTAGTTCCAATAAAATGTTATTATTTAAGTCCTATTGATTTTATTTTTTGACCACTTATATGGTATAGTATAATTTCCAGGTCTTCAATCAATATTTCTTGTGGAGGAAGGGCACAATGTTATTCAAAGCTTGTGCATATTTTAAATACCACATTCATTATTGCATTTAATTGATTTTGCTTTTTCAAAGCAAGCCAAAAAGAAACAAAAAAACAAACAAACAAAAACCCAAACATTTCTTTTATAAAGGAAATTGGCTCCTAGCTCATTGACACCAGCTCAGTTCTCTCCTTCTGGTGACAGAGAAGAGAAAATTCTCTTCTCGTTGCTTATGTGGATAAATTCTTCCATCCCTATGTCAGAGGATGTGATAAGGCAAGAATCAGGCTGAATATTTAGCACTCACCCAGCTCTTCTTTGGATGCTGTTCTCACAATGAATCCAACTCTCATTTTTTTTTTCCATGTTCACTCTGTGTGCTTCCCTTTCAAACTTGGGGCTACCTATCAAGTTTCCCGGACTTGACTCAAAAGTACAGATGCGAATTGAGCTATCTATCTAATAGCCAGACATTTTCGGTGGCAGCATTATAGTACTTTAGACTCTGAAGTCCTTGGACACAAGGACTATATTCCTGGGACTGCATGGCATGTAATAGGCACCCCGTAAATATTTGCTGCAGAATGAACTAGTGGTACATGATGAGTTAAGTAGCAGAGAAACAACATGAGTTTGGCTCCAGAATCAAATTTTGAACATGAATGCCCTTTTAACATCTTAACTCATCTTACATGTATTAGTACAATAAATATCTAACATGCATAAGTGGTATCGATGTTTTACTCATTTGACTTCGTCTTAGATTACTTGGGGAAGAGACAGAAAATTGCTCTAAGTTTCCCTTTTTATTTTGTGTTACCCAAGGATATAGTAGTAAGCATGAAAAACAAAAAGGGAAACTGATTATTTAAAGAGGTACCTGCAACTATTACGAGGGAAGCAGAATTTTATTATTTTTTTAAATCCATGCAAAAATATACCAAGAGTGAAATTAAAGGGAATTTGCTAATCTTTTTTTAAGGAATTTCCTAGATTAAATATCAATTTAGCAAAAGTAAATTCCTGGATCTTGGTATTAAACACAATTTAAAGTACATCTTCCTTTGCAAATATTCTTGCTTTTTTGGAAAAGTTAGGTAATCGATGCTGGGAATATAGGTGGAATATTAGGGTTTTGATCATCTAGAAAAGCCACTTAGCAGAGAAGTAAAGATATTCTTAAATAAATTTGAACCTTACATAAATATAATAGACGATGAATGATTATGATTGCTGTAGAGTTCAAAGCAAGCATGTAGGCAAACTTGTAAATGTATTTCTTTAAATGCTGGTGATCTTAAATGGGTTTTTCCTGAAAATCATATTAAATGAATCAGCAGATGATCCAAAGATAACTTAAATGCATTGCTTCTTTGTTTATTCATCTATACAGAAGGGAAATTTCCTGCCAGGTTAGTAGATGACTCTTACTAAGTGATATTTGGTGTGAATTTTCCTACCTGTGCAAATAGTACCTATCACAACAAGCTAAAACCCATTTAAATAGAATCATCCAATTGTTGAAATGGAACCATCAGCAACTTTTGTGAAGTTAATGGGATTTTGTTAGTTTAGTTTTATTGCAATCATCGATAAGAGAAGGAACACTTCATGTGTAATGAAGTACTAAGTGCTGTCATTTCATTTTTTCTTATGATTACAGAAAGCAAAAGATGGGCTTTTAAATTGATATAATATTTATTTTACTGCATTCCACATGATAGATTATGCATTTTTAGATTGTTTTCCCCTGGCCAACATAGATAAATATGATCACTTTTAAACAAAGTATGTTTAAACCAAGATGTGTTGTAACAATTTTATTCTAATGTTCAAAAAGTTAATACATGTTAGTACTTTATGAGAATTTTAACTTTAGAAATCTATGTTAATTGGAAATATTTTTAATATATCACACTCTGAGTTTCAGGAAAATATGAATACATGGAGAATACATATAAGGAAGTGATAAAGATCACAATTTAAAACTAAATGCCAAAATTAGTCACAAGTCAGTTTAAATCAACAAAATCATTTTTTATCTTTTAATGACAACATATCAGTTAAAGGCTTACATGGGAGGAGTTTTTCCCCTTCTCCCTAAATAGGGCTTCGTTTAATCTACCTACCTCACATGGCAAAAATAGGATTTTTGTTTTGTTTTGTTTTGCCATTTTAGATATTTGAGATAGGTAGGTAGGTAGATAGATAGATAGGCAGGCTTTTGGGTATTTGGTTGTCAGATAAAGTTTTTCAAATGAGGGAAAGTACCATTAGCTATAATATCTTCTTTGCAATGAAAAGTAAAGGGGAGTGGTGATACAGAACAATGACTCAGTCTTTCCCAGTTCCTCTTGATCCGTAGGTGGCAGGACTATAGAGAAACAAGTAGGGCGGAAGGGCTCAACAAAGAACTGGAAAGCCTGATGCATTAAGACTCATTCCTGCCAATCCTGTACAGCAGCCCTTCTTGCAGTTTCCCCTGGCTTTGCCCACTCTGTGAAAAGACTCTCCCATGCTGCCTCCCCTCCTGTCCTTCATCCTGTTAATTCACTCCCTCTGTACCTCTGCCCCCAGGCTACTTCCAGAATGGGGTGCCTGGGTCGACCCTGGAGATGCCAACAGAGAGCTGACACCCATATGGTACAGAAAATAGAAAAATGGGTTGGCTTGGACCACACATGAAAAGCAATTTAAATCACAAGAAGCCTATGCTGGGTTTTAGACTCACTAGCCTTAGTTATTTTATTGCCCGTTCCCTTATTTTTCTACCTTTTAATTTCCTTCAGATGAAGAGAATGTGGCAGAAAGAGCATCTCCTGAGCCAGAACTGCATGTCAGGCCTTACCAAATGGAAGTCGCCCAACCAGCCTTGGAGGGGAAAAATATCATTATATGCCTCCCTACAGGAAGTGGGAAAACCAGAGTGGCTGTTTACATTGCCAAGGATCACTTGGACAAAAAGAAAAAAGCATCTGAACCTGGAAAAGTTATAGTCCTTGTCAATAAGGTATTCAAATAGCACATAATACCACAGTGTTTATTTTCATTTTATTTTTCTGACGCATTTGTAAAATGACATATGTAACAATGGATCACGCAGACTTCATGTAATTAAGAGGAATGTCAAAATAAGTAATTTATTTTATTTTAAATCTTTGCTCTTACAGATGTATGTAATATTCAAGTTATTAGCTTTTAAAATGAATTTTTTCATAACACCAAAGCATAAATCAAAAAGCTGTTACTTATATGTAAAGAATAATACATTTACCCAGATATTCTTTAAGGTTAACTGGCACTAGTTTAGGTTATCATGTCCGTGAACATGAGTGACCTCAAAATATTACTAGAATCTAGTATCAGATATTGTCTTTTGGAGTCTCTTTAACTGTTGACCCTTAGTCAAAGGTGGCAAGCCCTCCTTACCAGAATATATATCATTTGTTTGAAGACAAAGAAAAAATTAAGTGACTATTTGGCTGATCTAAATCAAGTTAAAAAGGAAAATAGAGGGACGCCTGGGTGGCTCAGTAGGTTAAGTGTCTGCCTTCAGCTCAGGTCTTGATCCCAGGGTCCTGGGATAGAGCCCCGCATTGGGCTCCCTGCTCAGCGGGGAGCCTGCTTCTCCCTCTGTCTGCCGTCTCCCCCTGCTTGTGCTCTCTCTCTCTGACAAATAAATAAATAAAATACTTTTTTAAAAAAGGAAAATAGTTAACTAACTTTCAAGAATTATAGATAGATGTTACTTGAAATGCAACTGAGGTTTTCCTCTAATAATTTACAGTTTGGGGTATTTAAAGAACAATCTTCATAAACAGGTTTAAGTCTTCTCTTCATTGTAAAACAAAATCTAGTTATTTGAGCTTTATTCAGATAAATGAGTTTGTTAATTTATAAATGTGTACATTGGGCAGATTAATCTTTACTTTTGTGGAGTAAAATTGAGTATACATTTCCATGGTCAGACATAGTCTTTTCTGTTACTTACAATAACTAGAGTTTCATCATTTCCTTTACCAAAAATATAGTAATAGACTATACAGCTTTTCTACATTCTTGGATTTCTATTATGCCAAAGGTTTTAGTTGCAACCTGCCTTTTGGTACCAAAGAAACATACTCAGAATCTATGATCTGAATAATTTCTATCGTGTAGTTCCAAATGCATTTTGTATGTATCTGCTGAGTCAAAAAACCTCTTCTTTATACTTGAATGCCTACTATTAAAACAGTTTTTTTTCTCTTGTGACGATAGTGATACACTAGAATTTATTTGTGAATAGCCTTTCAAGTATTCTCTTTATAAAGAACATTATCTTTGGGAATAAAAGGAGTCTAGCTTTGAATACACCTTCTACCCAGCAGTAGTTTGACCTTGGACTAAGTCCTAACTTCTTGCTTTAGTTCCCTCATCTGTAAAATGAACAAAATAATACTACCCTATATAGTTGCTCTGAAATTTAAATTAAATAACCTATCTCAAGCCTGGGAATGACTCAGTAAGTTTTAGTTCTTTCTCCCACTCCCTCTTCCTCACCTCCATAACTAATTAAATGGAACCCCTTAACCAGTGAACAGGGTCTTAAGTGCCAGGTTTACAGAAAAGAACAAAGTTAACCGGATTTGAAGATACTTCAGCTGGAGTTCTTGAGACCATTTGAATATTCTGCAGTTCCCTCAAACTGAGCCTTCATCTCCCTCCTTAAAGGCTCTCCTTCCCTCCTTAACTGTCTCTTTGTTAGTTACACCCCCTCCTCCAAAGCATGAAGCCTCAACACCTAGGAGATATTTTTAATTCATCTATTTCCTTCCCTTCTTTTATCAGGCCCCAGGGTCATAAACTCTTAGAGCTGAAAGAGGACTTCAAGATCCAGCTCTCATCCAGCTCTCATCTCATCTCTTTCCTCTGCTGAGTAGAATAGGCTGGGATATCCAGGAAGTCCTGCTTTTAATAAGATAGCTTGATCCATTCTTTGAATGACTGGCACTGATGGAAAGCCCTACCGAAATCTGTTTCTCAGGAATCCACCCTCAGCTAGAGTTCTTTCCAGTGTGATTATACAGAGTAAGAATTAATTCTCCTGCCTCACGACTGCCCTTCACATAGAGAAGGCAGCAATGTGGCTCCTAAGTCATTTTTCTTTTTGTTCCCTGGGATAAATATTCCCAGTTCCTTCAGCTATTTTTCATGTAACATGGTTTCCAGATTTTTCATCATCTTGAGTGCCCATAGTTTTTGAGACATTTATTTAGGACCTTTTTCAAATACAGCATCCAGAGTTGGGCAAAATACTATAGATACAGTCTTATTGGTGCAGACTGGAAGAAAGATGAGATGTGACTCTAAGCCCATGGCCAGGTTTGCCTTTTTCACTGGTGCTGGCGCCCACAGACTCACCTGGAGTTTGCCATAAACAAAAAGCCTCAGTTTTTTTTTTTTTTTGGTCTGAAAATCTGCTAAACTAAAATTCTTTTATGTTGTCTTTGTGCAGTTAATTTCCAAATGCAAACATTCATTTCTTCATCTTATGCACGTTGATTGATCATTGCAGGTCTCAGGTTTTTGTACGCATCTAATGCAACTTGTTCTTATAATGACTTCTTTCAGTGCTGTATGCTCATCACAAATCTTTCATCTCATTGGATCTGGGTAATTCTTACAAATCCACATTTGCAACCATGTTTACATGTTAAATTATCCTCACTAATTATTCGTATTCCCTGCACCGTTGTGTAGACACTTAAGGACATAAGTCTAATTCATCATCTGCTTCTCTATTGTTTTTCCCTAGGAATTACTAGAAGTCTCTCCACTAATTCTTCCATATATGTCATAACTGTTTACTTTATCATCCCATTTCTTTCAATTTTAAAGTAACTTGAGCTTCAGTTCTCTTCATTTGAGGCCCTTTATGTCACATAACCTTAGTTCTGTATTTAGCCTAACAGATAGTATTGTAACCCTAGTTCTGTATTTAGCCTAACAGATAGTATTGTAACCCTTGATCTCAAAGAGAGAAATCCTGTCCCCTCTAACATCGTTTACTTTCATCTCCCTGCCTCCATGCTTTCCAAAGTTATCGCCTTCAAATGCAGGGAGAAATGAAAACACCACCTGTGTTCCCAGACTTTCTATTTCCTATCTAGGGCTTCAACATCACGAGAGATAAATCCCAGGTTCCTTCAGATGCTATAATGCAGCCCCATATGATTCAGCAGAAGTGGGTAGCAGTTGGGTTTGATTAGTCTTGGCAGGCACTCTGTCACATCTCAGGAAAAGGCTCCAAGAGGACCACACACCTCCCAATTAGCCATGTCAGACTTGCATCTGGCTTTCTCTGTGTCCTTCAGTAGGAAGTCAACACCACCCAGAGTGAGTATCAGGATTTCCAACACTTGCTACCTCCTGTGAAAACTTATTTTTGTTCTGTAGACCAGAAGATACTGCTTCTTTGGAAGGTCTTGACTCATCCTTTATGGGCAGAACCCCAGATTGCTATGTCACTCCGTGGCATAGAGATTCTTAAATCATTCAGCAGCATGAGGGGATTTAAAGGCAAATCGAAGGCAGATCCTGTTCTCAGGAATCTACACTCTAAGAAATGAGAGGTGTTTATTAATAATATGATAATAATTGTATTGCACTTTATGATACAGTATTAATTATTTTTATTGTATCTCATTAAATCCACACAGGCACTTTATGAGGTAACCATAATTATCCTCATTTTACCCATCAGAAAACTGGGGCTCTGAGGCTTTAATTGGTCTGTCAGGGCTCATCCTGCCAATAAGCAGCAGAGCTGAAACTTGAACCCTTATCTTCTGAAGCTAACTGGCCTTCTTTTTTCACTATACTGCTGGAATAAAAGGATTAGCAAAATATCAGGGAAGTTTTCTGAGGACCAGAAAAATGACAGCCTCTCTTTCATTTAATTTTCACAACAGTGCTACCGTAGGTTAACATTATCTTCATTTTATTGATGTAGAAATTGAAATGACTGAAATGATTCAGTAACTTGTCCAAGGTCACATAATAAGTAAGTGGCTGGACTGGTTTTCAGGGCTGACTTTCTCTCCCCTGGATCTTGCTGTCTCCTCCCACTAAGCTTAATTTTCATTCTCTTCTTCAGAGTCTTTCTTACTTCTTCCTCAGATTATTTCCTCTGTCTCGTGTAAGTAGAATGAAAGGAATAGTTTTAGAAAAATATGTCAGAAATGACTTTGTGAAAGAGAGAGAAGAGCTGCGGTTCTCACATTCTAAAGACTTACTGTCACATGAGAGGTTTCATATAAGTGCAGGTTATGCACATAGAATTGTGTCCCCAAAGATGGTCCCTAGGCTCAGTGACTCTTTCGTGGGGCCCAGGAGTCTGCATTTTCCAAATCTCTCAAGTGATTGTGTGGCAGACGGGCCAGAGACTTTACTTTGACAAAAAACAAACAAAACAAAAAACAAAAACACGAATGGAAAGTTTCTCTTCTTTTTTTTTCTCACCTTGTATTATTTTCTCCCACTTACCAAACTTGGTTATTGATTTTAGGTCCGCACTGTTTCCTTGAAATTCATAGATTCCACTTTACCCCTTCCTTTTCCACATTCACTCTTAGATAACTTCATTATTTATACTGAACAATGATACAAAGCATTATTCTTTGTACACTGTTTTCAGCCAGGGGTGTCAGCCAGCCCTCATTTTACACATAAGTGGGGCTCACCTCAAGTAAAAAGATGAATAACACATGTTCTGCAGACCAGTGGAAAGATAACCATTGATCACATTATCTGGTAATTATATTATGAGGAGTATAATGCTTACTCTTTGATGCTGGCCCTTGAAACTCTTCCTGCCAACTCTCTGTTTGCCACACTGTACATCTCTAGGCTCCTGTGGGAAAAATTCTCTGAGGATATAACATTCAAGATGGCCTGGTCATTCCTTTCCCTAATCTAGAAGGTATTCTAAATGGTAATGTGTAGCATTGAGGGGTCAACCCAACCACCTTCAGCAGGTACTGTGACATACAGAGAGCCAGCTGAAAGGACTTTCTTTTTGCTACCGTGCAACAAAATCTTTATTAAAATTTTCAACAGGTTCAGCTATTACTGAAAGTGGTAATTTAATTTTTTTTTATGCTAAGCGAAATAAGGTAATTTAATTTTTAAACTTAAATTGGGACAAATGGCCATAATGCAGAGTAATGCCATCACTGGGGAGTATAAATGTAACACTGAAGAATTAATAACCACCCTTCAGACAGAGGACCAAGTACAGGGTTGACACCTTCTGGATGTTGTAGTCAGAAAGAATGTGGCCATCTTCCAGCTGCTTGCCTGCAAAGATGAGCCTCTGCTGGCCATGGGGGATGCCTTCTTTATCCTGGGTCTTGGCCTTCACATTCTCCATGGTATCACTGGGTTCCACCTCCAGGGTGATGGTCTTACAGGTCAGGGTCTTCAGAAGACCTGCATTTTGACTTGCTAGTGAATGCGAAGATACTGTGACTTGCCAATTACATCGAGGAACCTCAATGCCAACTACTCCCTTTGCAAATGCCAGTCACCTCTGAAAGATTTCCACTTATTTTGCCAATCTGTTTGCTCTCTTGTTCTTTCTCAGCCACCAAAGCTATTTTAGTGGTCTACCCCTTCATCTCACATCTGCTGTCCTAGGCAGTGTCTTACTTCCTCACTTTTGGTTCTCTGCTCCTTTCAGTTTTTTAGGCATGTTGCCTCTGGCCCCATCCCAAAACAAACAGCAGGAATAAATCAACAATTTATAAGGGTCCTATAACTATTATACTAAATTTAAAATATTCTGCATGTTATTCACAGCCCTTTATAGCCTGGCCCTGATCTGTGAATTCAGAATTTATTTCTTATCCAGCCTTGGTTTTAATTTGTCCTGTCACTGACTCATGATTTACTAGATTAAAATTCTTTCTCAACCCTTCTTTTGAGTACTCAGTTACTTCTGCCTTTTTGCTGTCACTTTGTATGTATTTCTCTGGGAGAATTATTACACTGTGTTTTACTAATTTGTGGTTTTTTGTTGCTTAGTCTTAGTTTATGTGCTCAGCTAGACTGAGTTCCTCAAAGTTGTCACCCATATCTTAAACATGTTTATGTCTCAGATACAATGTCTACACCTAACAGGCATTCAGTAAATGCTTATTGACAAATTAATGAATGTAATGATGGATAGGTTGTTATGCTTAATTAACTGATAATGTAAACACCTCTGATAATGCTTACCACATAGTAGGCCTTTGATCAATACTCCTTTTTCTTTGACCATGCTCTCTCTCTCTTTTTAATTTTGTCATTTTTAAAGGTGCCACTAGTTGAACAGCTCTTCCGCAAAGAGTTTGAACCATTTTTGAAGAAATGGTATCATACAATTGGATTAAGTGGAGATACCCAATTAAAAATATCATTTCCAGAAGTTGTCAAAACCTACGATGTTATCATCAGTACAGCTCAAATCCTTGAAAACTCCCTTTTAAATTCAGAAAAAGGAGATGATGGTGTCCAGCTTTCAGGTTGGTTGAAGTGTTTATTTTGGGAAAAAGAAGAATTAGTGATATTGATGATAGCACAGAGGCTGTATTAGTTAAATAATTTTTAAAATGCTGATTTAAAAAGATTATCTCTGATTTAGGGGCACTTGGGTGGCTCAGTCAGTTAAGTGTCTGACTCTTGATCTCAGCTCAGGTCTTGGTCTCAGGGTCGTGAGTTCAAGCCCCGTGTTGGACTTCACTCTGTGTGTGGAGCCTACTTAAATAAAATAAAAATAAAAAGATTATCTCTGATTTAGATTGTCTTTCATTGCTTAAGTTTTCATTAAAACTCTTCTACTTTCTTGGGGAAACACAAAAATTATGATACATCTTTAATTAGATTACTTTACTTACATAAGAATATGGTATTAAATCAAGCACTCACTGGACTTTCCATTTACTTTTTATTTCTAGGTACCAACAAGATATTTTCATATGCTAATGGCTACTGTTAGATATGCCATCTTTTCCATAGAATGAAATTTAATCCTTTCTCTTTTGTGGGGGAAGGGAAGAGAAAGTGAGAGAAAGGGAAAGAAGTATAAATAATCATTATAATAATTGTAATAATTAAATGCAGTGTTAAAACAAGGCAAAATGATTTCTGTTTAAATGGTATGGTTCTCATTTGACATAAAAATAAACCCTCATCAACTTAAAATTAAATTGTTTTATTAAAGAATAAAAATGTAATCCTGATTAATTTGGGGTGTAAGGCAGGGATTGAATTCCATCCCATAACACTTTTACCTTTATAAACTTTCTGAAATTAATCTCTTAAGTAGGGATAATAACTAACAATAATAGTTTCATAATTAATATACCTGGACCTCTGGATGTACAGATGACTAATGTAGTTCCCATTGCCCTCTTAAAAAGTGAAAGGTCTGTGCCAGGATTCTGCTCAAGAAAAGATATCCTTGTCACAGCTCAGTTTACTACCTTTAAGGTACTTTTTTTCACTCTATCTTGCTGGTATGGACAAATGAACCACTTGGATTTTCTTTTAAGACTTTTCCCTCATCGTCATTGATGAATGCCATCACACCAACAAAGAAGCAGTCTATAATAACATCATGAGGCGTTACTTGAAACAGAAGTTGAAAAACAATAAACTCAAGAAAGAGTGCAAACCAGTAATTCCTCTACCTCAGATACTAGGACTAACAGCTTCACCAGGTGTTGGAGGAGCCAAAAGGCAAGCTGAAGCCAAGGAACACATTTTAAAAGTAAGCCATTAACTTTATGTAAAACAACAATAGCAGCAACAACAACAAGGACAGCAACAAAAAACCCTAAAAGCAAATGCCAGAGCTTCTTGGGCTTTTTGAGTAAGATTAGGTCCAAGTGCCATGGAGGGCCTAAAAGAAGGTATTCTATGATCATAGGTTAAGTGAAATCAGTATGTTTTAGTTAAACATATTCAGTCTTCTACAAAACAGTAGCATGCCCTAATAAATTACTATGGTACAGAAAAATATCACAAAAATTATGGAGTACAGATAGAATCAATGAAAAATTGGGACAAGTGAAATACCTTATTTTAAATATCTACTCTTGTTAAAACTGATGATCCATTTGATACAGAAATATGCACAAACTAGGACAATTTCTAATTTTCATAATACTCCATGAGTTTCAAAAATGCATATTTTCTTCTGTACCTTTTTTGTTCTGTGTGATTCTCAGATTCTGGGTCATTCAAATTAAATGAGAAAATGGAGATACGAGAATCTTTAGTTGAGGTTGTACTACTTGTCAGCTGACCCCAAATGGTAGCACCACATAAAGTACTATTGTTGATTTCAAGTGTTAAGTGAATTCAGAGTAACCCAAGAAGTATGTTGGCACTAAGGCAATTGCATTTACATTTTAAGTCCCTTACTTTAAGTTGAATTCAGTAAAAATCATGTAGAACAGACAGAGGCACAATTATTTGTTCCAAGATATAATTTGTTATGGGATTAAGGACTAACACCAGTCTAGATCCAGGCACATCCAGGCTTTGGCTGCTCCTAGCTTTACATTGTCCTCGTTATGTGTAGAAGAGGGTGGTAATCTAATCCAGGGATGTCAGGATGACTTTTAAAATGTCTTATGTGGTACGGTTATCTCATAACCATTCTCTGCCGATCTCTGTAATTTGCTACACTGTTTCCACGTCAGTTTTTCCAGCTGGCAAATGGAATTTAAGGAATGAAAATAAATACACTTCTTCTTCTGGAATTATCCACCAACAAGATTTAAAAGCTTCTTTTTAGTCCATAGAGATAAATGTATTGGTTAATCAGATCCACAGTAGAGCAGTACTAAAATGCTATATTTAGTTAGTCATGGTCCTTATTTGTTATATGAAAAATAATTCTACATTGAATCAGTTGAAAAGGAAAAGTAAATATTTGAATATTGACAAAATCTCTTTTCCAGATATGTGCCAATCTCGATGCATGTACCATTAAAACTGTGAAAGAAAATATTGATCAACTCAAAGACCAAATAAAAGAGCCATGCAAAAAGTTTGCAATTGCAGATGACACCAGAGAAGTATGTGCTTAAAGTTTTATATTTATTAGATTTCTTTTTGTTATTTTGTTTTTTTTATTATGTTCATTTATCCAACATGTAGTACATCATTAATTTTTGATGTAGTGTTCAACAATTCATTATAATACCATACCCAACTGAAAGATGCAAAGATTATTTTATACCAACCATCTGAAGAATATTATTTTAAATTTTTAGCAAAATAAGTTACAGTTTTATTCTTTTTTAATTGTTAGACGACAAAGCACTGCTGCGAATTCTCTCTTCCAGCCTTCTTTTAGTTTTCCAGTTTATATGAAGAGTAGCTTGACTACATGTGAGCATGGAGGTGAGGGTAGAAAGGGTTGTATAACTAAACTAGAGGGATTACTGTAGTTCATTTTATTCTTTTTACTTTCTTGGTGAATTTCAACACTGGTTTTCTGACATTTTGCGGAGCCATTTTGTTGCTACCAGATTACAGTTGGTAAGGATAATGGGAATCCTACTTAATTTGCATATTTACTTTCTTAAGAGAACACTGACATGGTAGAGAAGTAAAATACTTACTTTAATGATGCTTTTGCAATGAGTATTTTCACTGATTATAAAAACCAACTGTGTTAATTTGGACATTATGACCAGTGTATTAGGTCAATACTTTCTTTTGTAAAATATAAAAAGCATGATAAATTTTAGCTCTATGTACTTGATAATAATTATAATCATTGAAAATCTACCTCATAGAATATTAGGATTAAATAACATGAAATATTTATAATTGGCAATATTGTATTTGAAATGTAGTAGGTGCTAACCTAATGTTACTGACCAATCTCCATAGATCAATTTTTTGGAAATTCTGAAGATGACTACTATCTATTACAGCTGAACCAGAACATTTGAATATACTTTATTTTCATTCACTTCTTGTTACTTATTCAGTTACACTTAATAAATTTAATTGCATATTTCTACTCATAATCATTTTTAAAAACCCAACAAAATCCTCAGGATATATTTTTAAAAGAAGTTGCCATCTTACATTTTAACTTACTTAATTTTGATATACTTTTTATTGAAGTATAACAGACATGCAGAAAAGTGCAACTTCATAGGTGTATAGATTGCTAAACTGTTATAAAATGAACACACCTGTATAATCAAAATCCAGATTAAGAGACAGAACATTTTCAGCACCCCAAAAACCCCTATTCCTCCTTCCAGTCACCCATCCCCCAAGGATAACTACTATCCTGACTTCTAATACCAAAGATGGGTTTTAACTGACTTTGGCCTTTATATAAATGAAATCATATAGTATGCACTCTTATGTGTCTGGGTTTGTTTTTTTTTTTTTAACTCTATCACTTAACTTTTTTTTTTAAGTTCCAGTTAGTTAACATACAGTGTGGTGGTGTTTTTTTTTTTAACATACAGTGTTATATTATATACAGGTGTACAATATAGTGATTCAACACTTCCATACATCACCTCGTGCTCATTACAAGTCTAACTTTTAACTTTTTATTTTGGTAGAAATAATACTGAAACCAGTTCTTCAAAAGGGAATGTTTCTTAAATTACATTGCAGGCTTTCTAAATAATGGGGGCATTGCTTTAATACATATATATTTTTATTTTTTTTATTTTTTTTTAAGATTTTGTTTATTCATTTGACAGAGAGAGAGAGACAGTGAGAGCAGGAACACAAGCAGGGGGGTAATGGGAGAGGGAGAAGCAGGCTTCCCGCTGAGCAGGGAGCCCAATGCGGGGCTCGATCCCAGGACCCTGGAATCATGACCTGAGCCGAAGGCAGAAGCTTAACGACTGAGCCAACCCAGGTGCCCCAATACATATATTTTTAAATTACAATTAGCATTCAAGGTGCCTATTATCCATTAATTTTATTTTTGTAAAGCTTTTAAAATGGAAATTCCAGCAGCAGTACATGGTGTTGGTGTGTGTGTGGCTTAAGGGTGGATTACTGATAAAAAATAAATGTACAAAGAGGTGGTCAGAGATTAACTTGTTACTTTGTCCAGACAAAGATTCTGAATCAAATTTATTATAACATGGAAGTTATTTTTAACAAAGATAATGTGATTTCTTTAACAAGATAAGCATGTAAGAATAAGTGTATAATTTATTTTTAGGATCCATTTAAAGACAAACTTTTAGAAATAATGAACAAGATTCAAAGTTTTTGCCAAATGAGTCCAATGTCGGATTTTGGAACTCAACCCTATGAACAATGGACCACTCAAATGGAAAAAAAAGGTAATTTGGGTTTTGACCCAACATTTAGTTTATTCCATGTTTATGCCAAGATTTCAGATGATATGTCATATATTCTCAACCAAACTGAAAGCAAATAGAACATCAAATGGAATTTCTGTGTTCGAAGTAGTATAAGGATGAACATGTTCTAATCCCTTATCTAAGGAAAGAAGCACCAATCCATCCATTTTACTCTTTATTTCCAGAGTCTTTCACTCATTGTATGTTTAACATATTAAGATAAATATTATGTTTCTGTCTCCAAATGCAAACTCAACTGAAATGTTTTTCCTGCCATTCCTCTGAGTCGGCATGAATCAGGTCTGTGTTCTTGCTGATCCAGAGCTCAGGTAGCCGGTCTAGGGTTTGGAAAACTTTTAGAGCTCAAGGCACATTTTGATCCTTACCTTGCCCATCTCAAAAACAACGTGAAGCCGATTTTGGAGTCACTAATATAGACATATTCAAGTCCACAGCACAATTTTAAGGGGTGTGTTCTACCATGATTTCACTGTATATAACATATTCTTTCATAGCTGCACGAGAAGGAAATCGCAAAGAACGTGTTTGTGCAGAGCATTTGAGGAAGTACAATGAGGCCCTACAAATTAATGATACAATTCGAACAATTGATGCATATAATCACCTTGAAGCTTTCTATAATGATGAGAAAGAGAAGAAGTATGCGGTCCAAGAAGATGATAGTGATGAGAGTGGTGAGGATGGTGATGGTGATGGTGATGAAGATGAAGATGATGAAAAGAAACCTTTGAGCCTGGATAAGACAGATAGATTTCTCATGGATTTATTTTTTGGTAAGAATCAATGTTATGTTGATTGTGTACTCTCATGCATTTGCCTCTTGGCATGAGCCTGCTGCTTCCAAAAGTCCCTCTTAAAATCATCTTTCATTTTGAAAGAAGAAATCCCACTCATATTGGGGCTCTTTCCAATTGATGGGCTCAGATTAGCCATGAATTGTATAATCACAATCAGTCATTTGGTCATCTGGTTTTATTGTCAACAAGATTGCAATACATTTATTTATTAAGCTAGCCTGATCATTAGATAGCACAAGATCAACTGTAGTTCAACTACATCTTGGTATCTCATTACATAAAATCTCCCAGTGTAATTTATTCACATGTTTTATAATTCAAACTAATTCTTTCTTAAAGAAAACAGGAGACTGTTGAAAAAGCTGGCTGCAAACCCAAAACATGAAAATGAAAAGCTGACCAAATTAAGAAACACCATAATGGAACAATATACAAGGACTGAGGAATCGGCCCGAGGAATAATTTTCACAAAAACAAGACAGAGTGCATATGCCCTTTCCCAGTGGATTACTGAAAATAAAAAATTTGCAGAAGTAGGAGTCAAAGCCCATCATCTGATTGGAGCTGGACACAGCAGTGAGTTCAAGCCCATGACACAGGTGAAAACATCCTTCTAAATTTCTTTCCTTATCCTGTTATTACTGTTCCCAAATTAGTTGTAGTTTTTTTTTTCCATCAATTCTATTGCCACCCCACAAATAATTTTGTGGAATGCTTGTTCTTAAAATAAAATGTGAGTTGAGGAGCAATCTAATCTGTGGTGGCTGATAAGCTAAGCATTGTTGGGAGTCACTTTTTTCACATACTTGGAGGAACTTTCAAAATTGAGTTTCCTTTGCAAAAATGATTGACATTTAAACTTAGTAACAAAATGGAAAAATGGTTACAACATAATATCAAGTGGAAAAATCAAAACCCCACAAAAATATGTACATTACAATTAGAAAAAATGTAGAATATGTTTGCGTAGGATGAGATCTGTAAGGCAACTTGGAAAAATGAAGACATTTCATGTGTTAAAGATTTGGGACTATGAGCGATTTTCTTTTCATTTTTAAGATTTGTTTTGTTTTGTTTTCATTTCATTATACTACTTATCGTGTGCACAGTAAAACCCATGGGAGAGAAAAAAGGCCCTTGTAGACATTACAAGCATGGCTTGTTCGAATAAAATTGTTCTTCTGAAGTCATATTGACCTTGAATCTTACTGGACAAGGGGACACTTCAATTCTGTCATGGTCATCAGAATTCAGTGCAATGGAGCAAATTAAATCTGTTTTAATGTTTGCTGAAAATAATAGTTCTTGAAATTTTACACTATAATGCTCAATATGCTAACGCCTGTACGCAGTTAAAGTTGCCTTTAAAATTTATGCCTGAAAAAGAAAGCATTGTTTTCCTTGGGTAAGGAGCTTACTTCCTCCTTTGTGATGAGAGCTAGTTTACTTAATTTGTTTCCTTTTTGCCCTAGCTTTCAGGAAGCTCACAGGCAAAATTAAAGTTCAGTCTCACTGCCTTTATGTTAATCCTTACAAATAGTACATCTGTATTCTTCCACTCCTGTTTTTAAGTTTCTGTTATATTAACTTTAGTATTTTGACTTTGGTTATATGTGGCCTCAGCTCCTTTTTTGAAAAGAAGTGACATACAAAAGGAAAGTATGTTGTCAAGCTACTTTTTGCTCCTTAGCCGTTTCAGATTTGGGGGCTACATGCCAAAATATAGAACACACCCCTTCCTTACGCCACACACCCTCCCCTTATGAGCAGAGTTGGACTTACTCACTGGGAGAGGGAGTCAGCATTTATTTGATGTGATTTGAGGGTCTAACTCTGTCTGAAATTCTCATTATTAAAGTTACTTTTTTAAAAAGATTTTATTTATTTGAGAGAGAGAAGAAGCAAGCACGTACGAGTGGGAGGAGGGGCAGAGGGAGAGGGAGAAGCAGGCTCCCCACTGAGCAGGGAGCTTGGATCCTGGGATCATGACCTGAGCTGAAGGCAGATGCATAACTGACTGAGCCACCCAGGCATCCCTTAAGTTACTCTTTTGAATAGCACAGACATCTTCTGCTAAAATCCAAAGACATGTAAGCTTTTATTAGTGGACATGAGTGTGAGAGGGAGAAATTATCAGAGAAGACTGGAGAGAGGCTTTTCTGCACAATTCTCCAGCCTTTAAGAATCAAAAAAAGACACACACTGCCTCTAAGAAGAAAAAGAAGAGGGTGGGAGAACACACTGTTGGTCTGACGTGTTTATTTTTGTCTAATGTTTAATGTTTTTGTTTAATGTTTGGGGGTAAAAGATAGCATAAATGTGCACCAGAGGCCGACTGGACCAACAGCTTGGATGAGTCTGAGAACAAAACCGCCCTGACCCTCTCAGGCTAGGTTTATGCATACCCACTCCTCCTATGCAAGGGTCAGAGTGCTTCTTTAACTTCTTTACTTATATTAAGTTTCAAAGTTTTTTCATTTAATTATAGTTTTAAAAATTACGTTTTTAATAATTTATCATTTCATTTTTATTAAACTTCTCTTTGAACACATAATATATTTGCCTCTTTCTGAGTTAATAAGGTTCAGGGTACGGCTCTCCAGTCTTCTTGCTCCCTCGGAAAACACCCAGCGTTTTCCGTTTCTCACATGTCCTTCCAGACATATTCCGTAGGTTTCCTGCTTGAGTGACTCTTACAGTGACCAGACGTGGCATAGAGTGCATTATTTTTTCTGCGACTCAAAATTCAATGATCTTTAAAAGTGTCACTGGATCTTTGTTACTTTCTGAATATTAAATATTCTAAAGTTAATGCAGTGAAAAACAAAGCCCATTCTAGTCTCTCATTGCCTTATCCTCTTCTCCACTGAAAGCGTCTCCTTCTTCCTCCCTCCCAAGTCACCCATCAGTTTATTTCCTTGGCATAAATAATGGTCTTCCCACTTCCAGACTGGATGATGGCAATATTTTTGTTATTGGTGGTAATCCCAGATTGGAAATCAAATGTTGTCTCACTATCATGTCTTTGTTCAATGCCAAAAACAGATGGCAGTGAATCCGTGTATGATCTAATCCTTTGATTTGCACTGACCAGTTGCAATTTATTATTTCTTCTGCTAATTAGAAGATTTTAATGTGTTTAGCTTTACAAAATTTAATTTATTAAACTGTTTCTACAGAATGAACAAAAAGAAGTCATTAGTAAATTCCGCACAGGAAAAATAAATCTGCTTATCGCTACCACAGTGGCAGAAGAAGGTCTGGATATTAAAGAATGTAATATCGTTATTCGTTATGGTCTCGTCACTAACGAAATAGCCATGGTCCAGGTACATTTAATACCTCTAATATGTTAATTTTTGATTTTGTGGTATCGGTTTGTTTTCTTTTAGCAAAACAGCACAAATAGTTTTGAAAATATATCTATTCTCCTTCTAAAAGAGAAATCATTTCGCGCCATATACAAATATCAAATTATTGTATTGCACACCTGAAACTAATACAATGTTATATGTCAATTATACCTCAGTTAAAAGAAAAAGAAATCTTGAAGAGCTGCATACTACTGCCTTTTATGGTGTCGCTTAATTCATATGACAACAGATAACTGTTGCATTTCTAAACAACTCTTCTTTGGTTGTTATTTCTGTGTCCGCAAACTCTTTAGAAACAGGACAGTGGCCCATCTGTAAGAGTCAAAAGAGGCCTCCTCATCCCTAGGATGTCTGTGAGCTCCTACCTGGGCCAGGAATTTGAAGTGCAGTGCCTCTAAAATGTATGACAAAGTAATATGCCCACACCTTAGGGAGCTCTACTATTTCTGCATTTTCCTCCCTATTCTCGAGATTTTTCTGTGTGTTTGGAATTTTTCATAATAATATGTTGGGGGAGGCAGAGTTATACGTGCAAAACAAAAACGAAATGTCCTAATTTCCATTTAATTTCACTTTATCTCTTACCCACACTATCTTAATGATGTAATTGTTACCTTTCATTGAGTATGTATGGGAGTTGTGCTGGTTAATATAAATAATATTCTTCCTATAATATTAACTAAATCTCTTTTTTAAATACATTAAATTGCATCCTTGCATGGAAGTCATGGAAGACCAAGATAACCAGATAACCACCAAATTAAGAAGTAATTGTATTTCAAGAGTTAGTCTGTTAGCAATTTATAACACCGAATGCATTTTTATACAGATCATATTACAGTTGGTAGTTAGGTTCCTGGGCCAGGTCACAACATTTTTTCTGTTACTCAAAATGTACCTAAATATCAATTTCTAAAGGGGACTATAGAAATTTATCACCGTGTTGAGCATGTTTTCATGGGGAAATGTGCTCAAAATCCAATGTTGCTACCAGGAGCAGAACTGCCTTCTCACCAGCCTGGTGTCAAGGTCAGAGATGTTCCTTCTTACCATCCATCCCTCCTACCAGGCTGGAGGAGTGCCTCCCCAGTCCAAGTCAATGATGCTGGTTCCCAGGGTTGAGGGCAGGTTCCTGGGAACAAAAAGGGTTTACAGGATGGTCTTGTGTAATTGAGGGTCTTGAGGGTTGGGGTGGTAACCTAACCATCATTGCTCTCAAACATTGTTCATTAAAGTGCATTTTGAATTTCAAATAACCGACTTACAAAAAATGGGTAATAACTAACTTTACAGAGAATAGAGAAATTACTTGAAGGCTGGGACATGGAGCAATGAATACTACTCCAGGCCAAAAATGAGAGAGTTCACAGAAAGGCATAACCCTTCCTTTACTTGATTTCTTTATGTTCTCAGGCCCGTGGTCGAGCCAGAGCTGATGAGAGCACCTATGTCCTGGTTGCCCACAGTAACTCAGGAGTTATTGAACGTGAGATAGTTAATGATTTCCGAGAGAAAATGATGTATAAAGCTATAGACCATGTTCAAAATATGAACCCAGAGGAGTATGCTCGTAAGGTATTGTTTCTGGCCCTCTCTGAATTTATTTTTCATTTTAAAGTGGCTGCATGTGGTTGCCATTGATAGCTAAGGGGCTAAGTCTCAAGACAGAAATTGTGCTGAATTTTAAGTTCCAGTTGGAATGCGCTGTACTTAGTCCAGATTCATACACAAAGAATCAAGATCTATGATGGGCAGAAATTGTCAGACTGCTGTTCCAGTGAAACCAACCATAAACTCTGATGATATAAATTTAGTCTGCCCTTGATCAGAAAGACTAGTACATCTCACCCATTCAAGGCAACCTGGTAATTTTGGTTTGGTTCAATCTGTTTGTACAGGCACAAGTTTTTCATTCCAGAAATCTTTATGAAGTGCCTACTGTGTACCAGGCAATGTTCTAGAAAGAGAGAACATGGTAGCAAATAACACAGACAGATCCCTGCTTCATGAGGCTTATATTCTAGAGTATACATAATGAGATTTGAGGAGGAGAAACAAGAAACAGAAATGAAGCAAGAAATGCATTCCACAAGGATAAATGCTACAGAATTAGAATAAGACAATACAAAACAAGTCATTAGATGAATACTCTATAGATTGGGTATTTGGGGAAGGTCTCTTAGAAGGAGCGACATTGAGGCTAGATACATAATATGTCATCGGCTTCATCTCAATTTACTAGCGTAGAGTCATTTGAGCTACAAGAGGAATGCAGTGAAGGAAGAATGCATTTCTACAATATTTCAGGAAATCCCCCATACCACTGAATTAAAGACTGTAACTACTATAATAGCAAACAATCCATTTAGAAGAAAATTCACACCCTTGCATATGGGTGTGAATGTTAGTTTCTTAACATTGGAATTGGCTCTACCCTAAATAGAGTTTCACGAAAGGGATGCTTTTAAATTGGTGTGCATTGCTATAACCAACTCCAAGGTTTCCTGGCCAGGTTTCTACACAAACTTATATTTTAAAACCCCTTTAAATGTAAGGCAAACCAAACATTTGGTAATGTCAAATCAAACATCTGTGGCCAAATAATGTCACTGGAAAGTTAATCCAGTGGATATTTTCAAAGATTGATGTTTCAAGACCGGGTGTTTTGGGTAAACTCTAGGCCATCTCCAGAATTTATGAGTCGAAATTTTCCAGATTATGCTTACAGTAAGATACAGTCTCTCTTGGGGGCCCCAGAACCAACTACCTTTTTAGGTTTCCTTTGGCTAAGAGACCTGCCTTCCTAAAGCTACTCCAGGCTGACAAACTCAGAGCAGGGATGGCAATGATGCAGGGGCACATTCCACTACTATTCTGTTTGGCTCCCTTGGCAGACATCTCTAAAGCAGACATCGCTACTAGGTCCCAGCATTCCCTTCTTCTGAGTTAAGAATCCTTTTCAACACAATTTTCAGGCAGCCACTAATAAATGGTGAGCACTGACATGGAAGGTGAGGTCTGTTTTCCATGTCTTATACAGAATTTGTACCTAACTGAAAGCCTCTAAATCAAACTTCTAGAAACAATGTGAAGATTTGAAGCATTTTCCCTAACAATGACTCAACAACTTTTCCCACATCATTACATTTTATTTAGACTTTGACTGACTACAGCTGTGCCTCCCTTATATTTCTTATGCTTTGTTTTATTTTTTTGCCCCCCTAATTGTTTCATATTCTTTACTATTTTGGAACTAATCCTTTAGTTCCTGGTGTCCTGGATACATACCCATACACTAACCTTAGATTTATTTTTATTTTTCCTGTCAAACCTTCAGGTGTTCCTTGATTGCCCGCCATGTACGTGGTCCTATGCCAAATCATCTTTTATCAGCTCACTGAATTATAAATATCTTGCAAGAACAACCTGATTGTTATCATTTACAGGACAGTCTTTGTACTTGTCCGATTAAATTATTATATGGCCCATGGGTTGCTCACAAGGTTTAATTTTCTTTTTTGTACTAAATATGGCTATCTTGAATCAAAGCCCAAAATAGAGATGAGAGTCAAAGTTGGACCATTCAGCTTTGTTCATCAGCACTGATAGTTTACGTTTACTAAAACTTCCCCTTAGCCTTCAGGAAAACAATGACTTCCTCCACAATTTAATATAAATTTGCCATCTGAGAGAGGTTCGGTTTGGAGGTAAATTACTTAAGAACCAGGTTTTCCTACTGTGAATTGGTATAGCTGTGAGAACTGGCCAGTGCCTATCTCAAGTTTTGTGTCTCTACATTGTTTTTGTTATGAAATAAATTATGCCACTAACCACAGGGCCTAGAATACAAGGGTTTAAGGACTTATTCTCTCATAAAAAATGTGGGCAATTTACACCCATATGATAGCTCCATGGTGTTGTGAGGAAGCCAAGACTCTTCTCTGTCTCTCTTCTTTGCCCTTCTAATATTTGGTTTTCATTATCCAGGTCAAAGATAGTTTTTTGAAATTCTACTGTCACATGCTCATTTCAGGCAGGAAGAAGGAAGAAAATGGAAAAGGCAAAAAGTGCATATGGCAGCTATCTGATACTTAAGGAGTCTTTCTGGAAATTCTATTCTTATGTTTCATTGACCACTGGCTTGGAAATGTAGTCATTTAGCTAGCATATTCCCACCCAGGATGCGATTATAGTTCTGTTCCCAGTAAGAATGGAAACTGGGTGGGAAGCCAGTAGTTTCTGCCACAAATGTATAAAGAGGAGATTGACTAAGATAGCGAAAGGTCTAGAAATGATGTGTGAGAAGAACTTAAAGAAACTGGGGAGCTTATCACAGGTAAGAGAAGACGATTGGTAATGTAATAGCACTGTTTGTTCTTCAAAGATATTCCATGTAAAAGAAGGTTTAGACTTGTTTTATGAGACAGAATTAAAACTAATGGTGAGGTAGAGAGTTTAGAAGTGAGTTTTTTGTGGAATATTGCTAAGGACTTTCTCACAATAGAACTTGTCTAAAATGAAATAGGTTGTTTTCAGAACACCAGAGGGTTCCACATTGTCTTATCACAAGGTTTAATTTTCCTTAATTTTTAAGGAAGGATTATATGCTAAATTCTTTGGGGTGATCACCTCATTATATATATTTCTAGACTATGGCCAAGTGTACATTTTTATAACTATCTAAGATCTCTGAATTCCAGGAGAATTACTTCAGTCAAACTGTAGAAAAAAAAGAAACATTGTTTTTTTCTCAATGCAGATTTTGGAATTACAGATGCAAAGTATAATGGAAAAGAAAATGAAAATCAAGAGAAGTATTGCAAAGTACTACAAGGAAAACCCATCATTAATAAATTTCCTCTGCAAAAACTGCAGTGTGCTAGCCTGCTCTGGAGAAGATATCCACGTTATCGAGAAGATGCACCACGTCAACATGACACCAGTGTTCAAGTAAGTCCAGGAAGACTCAATTTTAAGTTTCTTTATAGGAGGTGAAGTTGCTTGTATTGTGAATGTTCTTCCAAAATAGTACAAATGAGACTCATTATTTTTCAGAACTTCCCCTCCTTTAGCCCCCACATTATATCCCCATTTCAAATGTCATTTTTTTTTTTCAAATATTGCACTGGGGCAAGGAGGGAGAAGGGTAAGACCCAAAGCCATTTTGATCCAAGGCACATTAGTTTGGTGTATACTCATATGTGTTCTCAGAATTTGGGACAACTTAAGTCTCATTAAAATAATAGGCAGACTTAGAAGAAGCCATCAAAGGCAACATGACCCTTGAGAGGTGTGTGTGGAAAAGGGGCATCTGCCTGATGATCCGCAGGGGCGAAAGGAGAGAAGGAATAAGATTTGGGATGGGTATGCCTGCGGATGAGCTTCAGATCCAACAGCATATACCCACAGGCTGCATATCTGTCCATTGCAAATTCTCAGAGATTTTTTTTTTTTACTTCTTGATAATTTTAGGGAATTCTACATTGTGAGAGAAAACAAAGCACTACGAAAGAAATTTGCAGACTATCAAACAAATGGCGAGATTATCTGCAAAAAATGTGGCCAAGTGAGTAAATTGCTGTGCTTATTTTTACTTTGGCCAAAGGAATTCTTAATTGAATGTGCATTTAATTTTTCCTCTCACTCTCTTTTGTTTTTCAGGCTTGGGGGACGATGATGGTGCACAAAGGCTTAGATTTGCCTTGTCTCAAAATAAGGAATTTTGTAGTGGTTTTCAAAAATAATACGCCAAAGAAACAATACAAAAAGTGGGTAGAATTACCTATTACATTTCCCGATCTTGACTATTCACAATATTGTTTGTGTAGTGATGAGGATTGACATTTGATTTGAGAACCTTTAAAAATATTATCAACTTAACATTTAATATGATACTGATTAATATTTTTACTATACTCCAGAACTGATGTGAGGATTAATAAAATCATTGCTTTACTTTCCGTTGAGCTGCATGAAGGAAGATAATATAATATGCTTTCAAGAATCTATCTTGTTGGTGGGCAGGGGTAAAGAATACTCACCAATAATAATTAGTGTGGAGCATTACGGTATGTGGAAAGAATGCTGGAGTATAAATGAGGATCCAAGGTATCGCTATCAGTCCTGTCACCCATCTTCAAAATAAAATTAACCAAATCAGTTCATCTTTTTGAACCAGTGTCCTTGTTGGTGAAATGGTTGTATTATTATTTGCCTTGGCTTTCATTAGTTTTCTATTGCTACACAACAAATTACCACAAACTTAGTGGCTTAAAACAACAGCCCTTTATTATTACACATGTTCTGTAGGTCAGAGGCCTGGACAGGGGCCTCTGCACAGGGTCTCAGAAGGCTGAAATCAAGTTGTGGAGCAGGTGATGCTTTCATCTGGATGCACTGGGCCAAGAATGACTTCCAAACTCTCTCAGGCTGTTGACTGTCATCTCCTTATAGCTGAAGATGAAGATTCCGGTTTTCTTGCTAGCTGTCCACTGGGGATCACTCTGAGCAACGAGGGCTGCCCTCACCATGTGGCCCGCTCACAGCTCCTTGCTTCTTCAAAGCCAGCAGGACAATCTCTCTTTTGTGTGCTAAGAAAATCTTAACTGGAATCACAGGAGTGACTATCTCATTATATTTATAGTTTCTGCCCACACTCAAAGTGAGGGGATTTTGAGGGCATATACACCAGCAGGCAGAAATCTTGGAGGCCATCTTAGAATTCTGCCTCTCCCACCACTTGTTCAGCTTTTGTGAGTAAGTGATGATATATGTGTACATATGAAACCACTTTGAAAAATATGAAGCACCATCAAAGGTGAGGTATTATGAAGCAGCATCAGGTAACTCAAGGCTTATTTTTCAGCTTTCCCTCCATGAACATAGCACTATGCTCAAGGAAGATTACCTGTGTCGGTGGAGATGTTTTGGGATCACCCAGGATTTAGCAGGGAGTAGATGCTGGATGTTATTAGAGAATAAAGAGAAAATGTCTACCTCCTTTTGTCCCTAACCCCAGGTAGAAGGGTAACCTCTCTGTGACTGTGATATTTTCAGTGTTTCCAAACTAAGTATGACCATCTGGAGACAGACACAGGGCCCAGCCTTCAGGACATTCTCCCAGTAGACAAGTAGCCGCTTTTAGCATGAAGACCCACATGACTGACACAGAGCCACAACTGACCATTTTAACCCACACTTATTCGGATGGTCTGCTGCATGGAAAGTGTTACCTCCTACGACTAAGGAGAAACAAAATGTTGGAGGGAGTGAAAAGAAAATTCTTCTGTGGTTTTGATGGATTCATTAACATTCAGTCTAACATTAGCTTTTGTTGATAAGAACCAAGCAAAGATGAATATCAACCAATCAGAACTCTTGGGAATGCAGGAGGACAAAAGAAGATTGTGGTTTTCTTAAAATACTTTTAAAAACTCCAGCTGACTCCATTTAAAGTATTGCTGTCTTCTAGAACATTTTGGAAACTATGCAGGAAACCAAATGCATAAAATAGCTAAATGTACTACTGTAACATATGTAGACTGCTTTTGAGGTGTCAACAAATATCAGGTTTTTTCATCTGTGTTTTCCAGTAATTTCTTTTTCAATAAAGAAGTGTTACTTCTACCTCAAAGTTTTTAAAATACGTGTTTCAAATAGTATAAAACTTAACATGTGATGATACCTGAAAACTCAAACTATGGTACAAGTAATAATTGCAGCATTTTGATCAAATGTTACTGAACAGTTTAATACTTTGAATATTCGGGGATGATTTACAGAATATGCTCATGACATATAAACATCAGCCTGGAGTTGGAAGGTCTAGTTTTCATCCCCACAAAACCTTAAGTTGGCTGGGGCACTTTGGGCAACCTCATCTCACACAGGTCCGGTGTTTCCTCTCCTGGAAAATGAGCAACTGGATTAAGTGGTGTCAAAGATTCCTTACAACTCTGGCATCGCCCTAGTCTATGCTTCTGGCTCCCTGGCTGCTTTCATTTGGAGACCTTGTCTAATGACTTGTGGTAATATCAGCTGTGAACTAAATACCTGGCAAGCACATTACACATTTGAAGGTAGCTCATATCTGCTAAAGGGCATTGCAGGAGTCTCACAGGACAGGTACATCGGCTGGAGTCATGCGTTTCAAGGCAGGTTTGAAAAACCTGGAAGTGTCAGGAAATTTTAGAACAAGAGGCATTTCCAAGCCAGTAGATCATTGGCCAACCTTGTGGATAGAAGACTGTAAAGGTTTTATACCAAAAGTTTGATATCATTTCAGGCCATATGAAATTAAAATATAATAATTTACAGTTTATACAAACATCTTGCCTGTAAAGCATTGAGGCAGCACCTAAATGAGTAAGAAGTGGTTTTCCAAAGGACCGTGTGGGCATGTCACAAGCAGATGTTGAAAACATAAAACACTGTAAGAGAGGTGAATATTTTCCTGTCTACAAATTAATATATCAGGGTGTTAGGCCTTAGGGAAAAGAAGGCTTCTGGTGGTGTTTTCATTTCAGTTGAACATGAACCCAAAGAGGATCTGAAGTTTCCTGTCATTGTTGCATTTCAAATGTGAGACACTTGACCACACTTATGTGCTGATGGGAAAGAACAATAAAGAGTGAGAAAAAAGTAACAATATTCAACCCCAGAGTAAAGTGCTTATTAGTATTTATTTTGTATATCATACAGTATTTCTGTATTATTGACATTTCCTGCCAAATGATGTTGCCACAGTCTTCTGGGCACCCTGATCCTTTCTCAACAGTGTGTCTTTGCACATGGTTGGAAGCCCTTCTTTGCCATCTCTCCAGCAGACATCCTTTATGTTCCTCAAAGACGAAACCCCTGTGGCACTTCCCAGAATCTAGCACAGTTCACATTTTCAGAACTAGAATGGAGAGAACATGCAAGGGGAGTAACTTCACTCACCCTGAGCATAACAAAGTGCTTATTTCCAAAACCTGATAAACGATTACATTAGTCATAGCAATAAAGAAAAAGGCAAGAAAATTATTTTATTTCCTTCAAAAAGTTATAAAGTTAATTTGATATCACATAAGCTTTTTCATTCTCCTCCAGTTTGTGAATTTCTCCTTCATGTGTCACACTAGATATACAATTTTACATCTTTGTTTTTATGGAGAGAGCCTGGACTGAGACATAATTGGATTTGGATCCTCGGGCAAGTCACTTAATCTCTCTGAGACCATAGGGAATTAAAACCAGCCTTGAGGGACTGCCACGAGAATTTGGATATTGCATGGAACATACCTTGCATTTGGCACTTTAGTAGGAATTAATGTTTAGAACCTAGTAGCAAGAGTGGCCAGAAAAGCAACAGCAATTGTAATAGAACAGCTGTAAGCATAGCATAAAAATAGTCAGCTTTAGACCTATGTTTGAAGATAAGTAGGATACATACAGGATTGGAGCCCCTACACCCAACATTTAGCCTAGAGGGCTTATCCCAAGAAGTAAGTGATGGCTGTAATGAATCATGATTGCTCTGAATAGGCTATTTAGTGTCACCAGAAGGAAGATATAATGTCCAGATCTATAGGTGGAGGAAAAAAATAGGTATCAGTGTAAATAAGAAGATCAACACTTATTTGTTGAGTGGTTATAGGACTTAACTAGGTCAATTATGTAGTTTTAATTAGATTCTGTCTTTACCTTCAAGAATAATGTGACAGTGTTGTTGTACTGAACTGGGTCAGCAATGAAAAAGAATGAGAGAGTGAGATTGGGCTGTAGCATGTCAACAGTAATTTTTGTCCCACACAAGTGGTGATTTTATTTGTTTCTAAATCCTTAAACCTTTAACTCAGGTCATAGGTTATAAAATAGGAAATACAGATGGAAAGCATTGCAGATGTTTTTTGTAATTTTTAGATATTTTCCACACAGAGTATTACCAAGTTCCTCTTTACATGAAACTAGTCATCCCATAAGTATCTCATTTGAAGATGAAATTGGCTGTGAGCCCTATTTGTTCATAATTTTTAAATCCAAATTAAAGGCCAGATCCTAAATGGGACCATGGGAAGAGAAACAGACTTTATAGGAAGTAGTCTTTAACCATGCAGTTGTTAGAATACGTTTGGACCACTATTTAAGTTGAATATATTTGATGAAGGATATTATTTTTTTACATACTAATTTCATAAATGGGCATGATGTTGACACAAAAGAAATTTAAGTGTTTAGTTCAGTTGTGTATATAAAAGAATACTGAACCAAAGATGAGCATTTTTTCAACTTAAATATTTCCTTCAAACCCTGTCTTCTGCTGTCTCTTATGAATATGCTTGTATTTTATTGTATAAACACATAGGATGAGTGGACTGTTAGATGGTTAGTTCCTTAATTTTGAATCCTTAACAGGCCATAAAATGATAATTCATCAAGCTGAAAGGATTTGTATAGTGCTAAAATGACCAAAACGACTGATACAGTGTTATGTTATCTTGGACAGGGTTGCCCACCTGAGATTAATAACAATTCAATACCACACCAATGTTTCCACTGCCGAATTTATTTTTTCTTAGCATTTTACCCAGGTTTATAATTTCATGACTGTACTTTGCACAATTTATGCTAATAATTGTGATAACCTGTTGAATTCAAAATTGCATCTTTCAAGGGATTTATCTCATTTGACAAGCATATCCCAAATCTTTCTCTAAGAGTGATGTTTCTTGCATTTAATTAAACTATATGGTTTTTTCTATTGAAAGCTACTAACCTCGTGGAGAAGAAAGATCAGCTAGGGCCCTGAATTTTTTAGTGGACAACTGAGTTCGGTGTTTTATTTTTATCACTCATTTATTTTGGGATAAAATGCAAAACTCAAATAACTGCAAGAAACAAACCAAAACATGTCATTCCATGTAGAATGCTGTGTTCCATGCAGGAGAGGAAAAAGAAGATAAAATGAAGGTAAAAAGGGAATAAATAGAAGCCAAATGAAATAGAAGCAAAGAGATTAAAAAGACAGTAACACCATAACACATACATAAAGAAACAAAAATGAAGAAGGAAAAACAAATTTAACAGGGATATTCACACATCTAATAAATGACGAATTATTTCTTTTCAATTCATAAATATTTTTAAGTCCTACTATTTATAAGGTACTGTATTTTAGGCACTAATAATTAAAATAAGGCTCTTGCCCACAAGACTTTTTACCTAATAGTGAGGATCTTTTATTCAATAATGAGTAACATAAGGATTTTGCTTTTAGGATTCACTTATACAGAGATTAGCCATGTTCATAAATACCAGTAGGGGATACAATGACCAATGCTGTAAGAGAAAGGAAGGAGAGAATTACTTCCAACAGGGATGAGAGACAGAAGATTGCCTTGGATTGTGGCATGTCCAGGAGATTTTTCAAAGTCCTTTTTAGAGTTTTCCCATCTTGGGGGTGGGGGCGTTGAGGATGGATAGTACCTAGAGATAAGAAAAAGGAGAACACCTGATAATCCGTAAAAGAAAATTTTACCATCAAATATGGTTAGAAAAGGAAAAGTCATTTTAACTCTGTTTAGAATAAAGAATTTTTGCTTAAAATATATAGTAAGTTTGAAATATCTCACAGATAAACATACCATTTGATTTAAAATATTACTAAGCTTTATTTACCCAAATAATTATAAAATAGTTAAACTAGGTTCAGCTGCACTATAAGGGTTTGAGATGAAAATAAACAAGTGAAAAAGGATGCCAACTTCTGATGTAATCGTCATGAGAAAAGGTCAAGACTTCTCTAGATGGAACCAGAGGTGGGGGAAAGAGTGTGAGATGCCTATGCTCTGGTCACATCCATCCTGGTCAAAAGATGTCTTGAGACTCAATCTTATCGTTCCAACATTCACCTCAGCAACTGGCCCAGCAAGTCATTCTCTGGCCCAGGGAAGGTCACTACCTTGTAACCATCTGAGGAAAAGAATGCTTAGACAATCATTGTTTGGTCAGGGACAGATGGAAGGATGGATAGTTGGTACCATGTCCGTCTTTACTCACAATATTCAGTGATCAGGGTACTTTTTAAAAAAGGTTTAAAATATGCCTTATAATGAGGGCTCGATTTGACTACATTACATGATTAGCCTAAGGAAAGTGTCTCCCAAGCAAGCCTGGCAGAGAGTCTTCAACAAAGAGTGAGTTTTGGTAGGTGAGAAAATGGATGCAATAAGCATAGGCGATCTTTAAATGGGTATTGTGAAAAAGAGAGAAAAAGATGAGAAAATTTTGAAAGGGAGTCCAAAGTTTTAAGCCTGTTGACAGGCTAAGGAGCAAGAGCCAAGAAACAGGGAGAGATTCAAGACTCAAAGGGAGAAAGGAGGGCATAACTGTTGCCACAAAAGGCATAGGAAGAAGAAAGGGCATGAAATCAAGAGCAAAGGAAAGGATGAAGATTGGATAGAAGGATAGATACTTCTGCTGCTGTTGAAGCAGGAAAAATAAATATGAATAAAAGATACAGTTTAGTGGAAAGGCACAAAAGTAGGAGGCTGGTGAGGTTTTTCTATTGGCATCAATCACTAGATTACCCACCAAGTTGGGCTTTAGATTTCAGGATGGACATGGGGACTTAAGGAAAGCAGTCAGGATTTTTAACATGCTTTGATGAATGGAAAATGACTAATTAGAAACTAAGTAAGAGGATTATCATGCAGTATCAGGACTTGTTGGTTTAGAAACAATAAATATAACACCGATGATTTAGTAAATACTTATGTGCAGGGTATTAGACTAAGTTTTGTTGTATTTATTCTTTGATATGTTAAAGAAAAAAAATCAGAATGTTTAAAAGTCTGATGGACTCGAAAAGCTTTAAAATGTTACGGTTCCCCAAATAAAGCTGGTCCTGTCTGTGACCTCTCAGCACAGGGTTGTATTTGGGAGAAACCCAATATCAATATCTCTTCAAAACTCCTCAAAATTATCTTCCTGAAACCTTCCTGTATTCTTTTTTTATCTCCCCCACTCTTCCTCTCAAACTCTTCCTTTTATAATGTAAATCAACATGATTTTACTTGCTCATTTCTTTTCCTCTCTCTGTCCATTTATCCTAGGCTTTATAGATGCCTGAACCACAAAGGGTGTTTTCCATCTTAGAAGTATACATTGGAAAGTGGGGGATTTTTTGTGAATGTAATTTTTTTGTTATCAATTTATTATCTGTCATCTCCAAATTCAACTTTTTTATATGGTCCCTAAACATGCATCTGGGCCCTTCGAGTATTTTTGCTTTGCCAGCTGGCATTGACATGAAACTTTGCCTGGAGAGGGTGCTGGAGAAATAATGCGGAAAGAAAGGGGTTTGCTTCCTGGTTCTCGTGCGGGTGCGTGGCGAGCTTGGGCAAGTGTAGGTGGCTTCTCCAGCATCCAGTTCCTGTGGCACACGTGGCTTTCTCCAGCACCAGGGGCTTGCGTGGCAGCCAGCAGGACTCAGTGGCCAGTCGCTGCATCTCTTCAGTTATGTGTACAGTGTCTCCATGAACACTCCCATGAACAGCTTTCCCTGGGACCCAGAGGGCACATTTCCAGCAAGCTGTGGAAGACAGACTTCCAGCAAGTTCCTGTGGTACCCTGGCAAATTCTTTGCTTTCAATAACCTATGGCTGCTCTTTCCAATAACATCTGAATCTCAGCCTTGGGTTGTCTATCTCAGGCACAAGGGAAGTGGCTGTTTCATAGCTCTGTTATTTCTGTATTCTTTTTTTTTTTTTTTTAAGATTTGATTTATTTATTTGACAGAGAGAAAGAGCCCACAACCACAGGCAGTGGGGAGTGGCAGGCAGAGGGAGAGGGAGAAATAGGCTCCCCGCTAAGCAAAGAGCCCAATGGAGGACCCCATCCCAGAACCCCAGGATCATGACCTGAGCTGAAGGCAGCTGCTTAACCAACTAAGACACACAGGCACCCCTATTTCTGTATTCTTTAGAGTTCTTTTTACTTATTAGTTAATCTTCTGTTACTCTAAACCCATTGTAGTTAATAATTGTTTATATTAAATTTTACCTGTTCAAATTACTCTGTGGTTTCTCCCACCAGACCGGACTCACTCATGCAATCATATCTAAAGAAATATGAGAGTTCGTCTGCAAAAGAAGTTACAATTTTCAAATATCAAGCTACTCTTATGTATAAACATTGTATTTCACACAGGAAATGACTCAAATGCATCTGACCAATTCTCTAACCAAATAACTTAGAAACGAGACAATATGTTTTGTAACTAGAAACTTTCATTTCCTAAATCCAAACAATCAGTTTTATAATGCCAATAGCTGAACCACAAATTCCTATCTTACATGAAAGACCATGTAATGGATTGTTGAGAGGATTAAATGAGAAAATGTCTGTATGACAGATTTTTTAATGACTTAACACTCTCATAATACCTCTCAGAGAAAGAGAACGATCTTTATTTTAGAAGCCCCCTAATGTGTGTGCTTATTTTTGAAAATGGGACCTCCTTATAGCTCCACTGGCAAATTAACCAAAGAAATACCTGAACCGTTTTTTTTGCATAAAACAGGATCAGTTAGAAGGAGCTAGAGAGGAAGGGAGAAACTGTTAATGTGAGAGGGAATCCCAGGAGCAAGGCAGGAGGCTACAGTCCAAGTAGAAATTACCAGCGGAAATTCCACCATCATTGTCCCAAAGCACCAGTAAATCTGCTACCTTCCGTACTTCAGTTCGAGTATTTGGCATCAGGGCAGGCAGTCTGGCAGAGCAACACAGAAACAATGAAGGGAAAGCACACACACAAGGAAAGGTGACTACAGAGAATTCCAGGTAACAAATGTTGAACACATTTTACAGCGACTGACACGAAGAAAACATTCAGTAAATATTAATTTCTTTTTCCCATTTGAAGTATAAGGTGTAATCTCTGACCTTGGGGAACTAACCAATTGGTTGAAAGTTCAACGATGATAGGCACAAAATAATCAGAAAAAAAAATATGAGCATGCAGTAATTGTGTGGTATGCAAATTATAGGTATGATAGAATTCAGAAAAGTCAGGGATCAACAGAGAAAAGCTTCTGAATTAGAGTGAGTAAGGAATTTGAATAATGCCGGGGGTATAGTAGATGTTCATATTTCATAGTAATTTCAAAGGGAAGAAGAGAAGGAAGTGTATTGTAAGTGAAGGTAAGAAGGAAGAAGGAAGAAGGAAAATGAACATGCTTTGCATGTCTGTTGGAATGCCAAACCGAATCTGGGCTTGACTGGGTAACCAATATGAAGCCGTTCTAGTTTTTTGAGCAGTAGAGCAACACGTTGTAGAAAAGACGATCTACAAAGGGTTAGTGGACTAAATCATATTGAAGAGAGAAAAACTGGGAGGAAGTTGGAGCCAGTGAGTCTGTGGTGATGAACATCTGGACTTGGTTATTGGCAGTGAGAGTGGAAGCAATGAGTGATTCTGGATGATGTTGAAATAAAATCACGAGCTGGAGAAATTGTGGCTGGTATGGAATTGATGGCAATAAACAGAATAAATACAAAAGTACAGCACAGTTGGTGATAGAAACAAATTACAAGTAATTTCTTTACATTACCTTCTTTTTGCTTTCATTCTGACTCATGCCTCTGCTTGGTCGTCACCTAGTGCCACATGTGGGTCATATTCCCGGCACACAGAGGAACAATTCTACTGCACCCAAGAACTGGCTCCCGGGCTCCAGTTGATTTCTAATCCACCCACACTGATCGCTGAGCTGTGGTGGGTACAATTCCCTTGTCCTGAGGAAAGGGTTTAAAATGAGTCAGAATCTCCCAATCTGTGAGTAAAGCAAGCATTTTTTTTTTTTTTTTTACTTCCCAGAGGCTTTGGTTCTCAAGAAGGATGGTTACTTCCTGCATCCATTCTCACTCCACCAATGGGCGCAAACTGGTTATACAACCCAGGTGCTATCTTGGCCTCTCAAGAACTAAATAAGGTGCTTTGGGATGACCATTCTAGAAAGGCCAAGGAAGTGAGTTTCTGAGAATGTGGAGGTTTCTGCACTCCTCATTCTGTGGCCCTTTCCAATAATGCTTTGACTTAGGCTGTGGCGTGAGATAATGACCCCTTTGTCAGACTTTAAGATTAGTCTAGACCAGCTCTGTGCAATGAAATATAGGTGAGACACAACACTAATTTGAAGTTTGTCAATGGTTACATTAAAAACGTTAAAGGAAACAGCGTGAGATTAATTTTAATAACATATCTTAACCCAATATAGCTAAAATATTACATTGATATGTTACCAATATAAAAATTGTTGATAAGATGTTTCATATCTTTCTCTTATCAAACCTCCAAAATTTGGTGTGTGTCTTATATTTTTAGGCCATCGCAATTTGGACTTGCCACATTTTCAAGTGCTCAATAGACACATGTGGCTAGTAGCCACTGTAGTGAATAGAGCAATTCTGAATTACTTTTTAAGACAGATATAGAGAAAATGCAGTGTACACATTAAGTTCCAATTTGTTTTTGCAAGTTACTACTTAACTTTGAATTCTCTTATTTTCTCTTAATTCTCTGACATCTTATCTCTGCAGTCATGCCTATCTTTCTATCTGATGAAAACAATTACTTGTGAGAATACATAATAAACGCCATGGTTCTCTGCCCAGATCCCCTCTTCAGGGTCAGGGCACTCATGCCCCTGGGCTTGGGAATATGGCTGCCTCCCTCCCTGGGTATTACCTTAAGCTATGGGGAGCTGCCTTCTCAAGGATTACGTCCTCTTGGCGGTGGCCTAAAGCCAAATCACAGACTGATGAAGAGACACAAGCCTGTCCCCCTTTACTCCACTTGTGACAACTCTGAAGGGCCATCCCAACTGCTGAGGCCCCTGTAGGGTAGACTGGCCTACCTTTGCAATAGTTCCACCGGTCAGTGTCTCCCTTTGCTCCATCTTGCCTTCTTCCCCACCCTACAGGTGTTGTCTCCTGACAGCAACCTCTCTCTACCTCCAACCCTATCCACAAACTAAACCCTGCTTGCATCTCTCCACCTCAGAACCTGTTTCCATTAAGACAGAATATAAAGTAGTAGTCTCTCTTCTGCAAAAGCAAAATTATAGGCAGTGTTTGAAGGGAGAAGAGGGAAAAGCAAGAGTTTGGTTCATTTCTGTGTATTATAACTCTATTGCCCCACAAGTGAACCAGGCCAGAGCTCTCTCTGACCCTCCCTCTCTTTCAAGTCTGTTCACTCTCATTTATTTTTCTTTTCCTATATCACATCTCACACAGAGGTCAAAGTGACAACTGAATCAAAGGTATGGTCAAAAATGGGATTAATCCTCTTTGGGTTGAGAAGGAAAAATCAATCCTGTTGAAGAGAGAAATCTAGATTCTCCCTCATCTTAAAACTTGGGTTTGTCTGCCACATTAAGGTCTTTGACTCTCAAATACCTAAATTATTCTCCTGGGGGATGTTGGCTTTTACTATTTCTGCTTTAGCCTTTTTCAGTGACTTCATACCTCTGTCTTTCTCACACACACACACGCACACACACACACACACACACATTCATTCAGATTAATGACAATTCATTCTGCACAGGATGGCTGATGGGAAGGAAGCTGTCATTCCCATTATTTCCCTTACATCATAAGTCCCATAAATAAGATAAGGTAGTCAGTTCTTAGATGTGAATTGAGAGTTAGGAGATACTGATTCTCCATCTCATTTGGTCTCTTACTGAAGTTTTTTGTGGCTGGTTTAATATATGAAGTATTCTACTATTTAATTGTTACATAGGCTGTAGCAATATAATGATTAAAGTGCTTTGTGTTCCAGAAAACTTTTCTAGCCTGTACATTCAAGTTAGAAGATTGGATAAAATCTCACACAAGGTAGGCAATGTTTCCTTGCTTCAAAAAGCTTGCTGCCTGTTTGGTCTTGGTAAAATTCAGAGGGGTGGTAGAAAAGAATTGTAGAGCAGATGGGTATTTTCCTAAAGTATCCTAGAAAATATGTTTTTTCTCGAGTATTTTTATTGTGTCTATAACTAAGATATAACTATGTTAGAAATACTGAAGCCACGGAAGTTTCTGTGCTTCAATGAAATATTAGTTTTGACATTATGGTGATACTCAATACACAGCACCAAGAGGTCAGTGACTAGGGATTTTTCAAAGGAGGGACCTCACATCTAGTGAAGGACAAATTGTGGGGATCACAGTGGTAAGGAGATTCTGGCATAAGTAATATTTCAGGCCCTGAAAATATACCTTAGAGCATGTAATAATACACATCGGCTATTTCTCTTAGTTGATTAAAAGCAAAACTAGAGCAAGCTGACTTGCACTCAAGCATGACCCCTCTTGCATTCAGCAAAGGGTCTTTTCTTCTGCCTTCCATTAGGAGATGGGCGAAGGGGATGTTTTTCCTTTTTCCTGTGATAGTAGGAATGAGGTTACTAAAGAATAAAAGAGCATACCTCAGTATCACAGAAAAACTTTCTTTAGCCTTCGGTATTCAAGAGAGAAATTGTGGGTTTGAGCTCATGCTTCACCGTAGCCAGTTTTTGTGGCATCACGTTGTGGGACAACAAATTAATGCCTGAGTAGCTCATGTGGTCCTACAGAATCCACCCTCATCTGCTCTTCTTTTCTCTTGCCTTCAACTTCCTTCATCCTTCATTACAGCTGCCTTCTCTGTGAAGGTTCATCAGTGTGAACCTGGATGAGGAGGCATCTGATGGTCCAGACAGAGCCCACAGGAACCCATACAACTCCTTGCCTACATCAGCGTAGCTTTGCCATTCAAATTTTGTGATGCCAAGCCATTCACCGAGAGCATGGCAGATCACTTGTCAAAAAATAGGTCCACAATTATGGCATGCATGCGCGTGTGTGTGTGTGTGTGTGTGTGTGTGTGTGTGTGTTTTAAACTACAAGTTACTGGAAAAATTATCAGAGTGGAACACGACGTTGATTAGATTACGTATTCTTTGAAATTTCACCAATTAGAATGTCAAAAAGAAGTGGACATGGAATTGTACTAATTTCTACTTTACTAATCCATAAAACAGACACTTCTCATAAAAAGCCAGTAATCTTTCCTCAGTTCTCAGGGAAAAATGACTGAATTGCTGCAGCAAAGTCTCCTATTATTAATTCTCCATGTTATAATGAACAAAACTGAAAGGCACACTTAAGCAGTAGCACAAGGATTAAATGACCATTGTTAGATAACAATGGTTAATATCTGATTGTTTAACAATAATGAGCTTGACCCTTTATTGGTCACACCTGGAGGTGTTCTCCTTGAGCATTATCTAGCTTGGACCCACTGTGAGCAGCAGGTGAGTTCCATATCATCTGTATCATTCATTCATTCATTCAGAGAGCAATATTATTAAGCTTTATCCAGAGCATTGCTCCTATACCCTTATGATAAATTACTGAAACAAACCAAAATGGAGCTGTATGTGAGTGAAAGAGGAATAAACAGTAGAAATAATACATACATTGTCCAGATTATAGGATGTTGGGAAGTAATAAAATCTATGGGAAAAAGAAGACAGGTAAACTATAAAAAATCCTTGACATTGAGAGGGGTCAATTTTGAATGAGTGATTCACTCACATTGAGAAGATAACAGTTGACTGAGAACTTCAGTCCATGGTGGTAATGTCGTTCCTATTTTCTCATCCATAAATCACTGCTATCATCTTTTCTGATACCATCTACTAGACACATAAACAAAAATGATGTGTAAGTTTAAGACTATATAGCTCTCAGGTCAAGGCCAGTGATTTTTTTGTGATAACATAGGATTTATCTCTTGAAAACCTAAGAGACCTGGTCTTACTCATGATAGCAGTAGGTAGGTTCCTGAATGATGTGACATGAGATGTGCTACCCAAAGTTCCATATCCTCTCCCAGTTCCTTTACTATTTTAAAATCTGCTTCTTGGGGTGCCTGGGCACTCAGTGGGTTAAGCCTCCTACTCTTGATTTCAGCTCAGGTCATGATCTCGTGATGGAATGGCATACCAAGTGTGGGGTATACTGGGAGTGCAGTGGTCTGCTTCAGGATGAAGGAGTACATCATCACTAAAGTTGTTTAGAATTACTGGACACAGTGGTAATAAAAAAGCAGACTGACTTTAGTGGCTTTTATTACTGTTTGTAAATATGTTAGAGATAATGATCTCCTTTTCTTTTCTGCTTCCAGGAAAGACTATGCTCACCGAACCCCACCTGGGAACCCAATGCTCTGAAGAACGTATTTCCAGAGTTTCTATTATGCATATATCTACATAAACTTTTCCTGCCTCTCCTTCATGAAAATGAGATTATACAACTAAACAATAGATTGTGGATGCTTTCCATGTCAGTAAATGTAGACCTACATCATTCATTTTGATATGTTCCATATGGCTTTGTCTAATGCCCTCTGGACAGACTTATAGATGTTTTCACTTTCTCAATATTATAAACTGAGTTTCAACAATAGTCTTGTATTTGCAACTTTGTACACTTATCTAACGTCCTCCTTAAAGTACATTACCAGAGGTAGAATCACTATCCCGAAGGGGATGCATATTTTTGATATTTACTCCTCAACTGCACTCCAGAAAGTTTATAGTACTTCCCTCTATTATCAGCTGATTGGGAAAGGGCCTGCTGCCATTTTTAAATCCTTGCCAATCCAAGAAATGAAAAATATCACATTTTTGTATTTTATTTTGCATTTCTTTGATGTCTAGCAACTCTTAACATTACTTTATAAATTTCCTTTTTTTTAAGATTTTATTTACTTATGTGAGAGAGAGAGAGAGGAGGAGGAGGAGCAGAGGGAGAGGGACAAGCAGACTTCTGCACTGAGCATGGAGCCTGAAGGTGGCTCAATCCCAGGACCCCAAAATCATGACCCGAGCCAAAATCACGAGTCAGAGTCTTAACCGGCTGAGCTCCCCAGCCGCCCCTACTTCATTAATTTCTAATAATATTTATTTTATATTTTTATAATTTGTAGATGGGCCTGGATAAACTTTATTTTTGCCCTTTAGCCATTTTTTCTATTGTGCCATAGAACAAATGTTCCAAAAAAGGGGGGGAAGATACTGAGCATAGATGTCACCTACTATATCAGACTACTTAGTGGAGAAGACCTACTAATATCCATCATACGAATCTGCAGATGTATTTCTTAAACTTCTGAAATTATATGAAAAATCATATGGCTCTATATTTCTACTATTGTAAATATTCTTCTCCTACAATGTGTCCTCAATAGTATGTGGAGGTGACAGGGCAAAACGTGTTATGTGTACTACAATTCTTACCCTGCTCATCCGAGATGAGATCTCTCTTGCTTTGCAAGATGAGGGCGGAAGTTTCCCTGCCCTTCTCTCTGTGTTTCTTCACCCTGCTCCACTTTCCAACTTCTATTCTATGTAAATCCAATTCTATTCATATACACATAATAAATAATTTTGACTGATAATTTCTGACTACAAAAAAAGCTTTTGTGATTTGTCCATAGTGAATTATAAAAATTTAAAACCAATAAACACTCAAATTATTGTGAATATATAGGTATTGCTTTTGACCTAAATAGTTTGGTCGGATTATGTTTCATCCTCTATGGGTCCAATAGTACTTTTTATGTTGATCAGTAGAGAATGTTTTTAAGATTCTACTTTCACATTCCATCAACCGCCTCCATCTGTTATGTGACTATCGGGACTCTTGTTTATAAGTGGCATGAAAAACAACTCCAACTTAGAAAAAAAATAGTTACTCAAAAGAATAGATCTGACTTAAGAAATGGCAAGAGACAGGCACTCACACACTGTTAGCGTCTAGTTTCCAATGACGTGATTCACCATTTCTTGGTTCAGCTTTGTTCTCCTCTGAATGGTGACTGTAGTACTTCACTCCCTCATTTTGCTGAAATACACCCTCAAGCTTCTTCCGAAGAAAGGATATTTGGGGTGGAAACTTTCTGAGTTCCCACTCATCTGAAAATATATTTATTTTATGCTCATGTTCGACTGGTTTCTTGCCGAAGTAGATTCTAACTTGATGAACATTTTCTCTCAGGACTCTGAAAACAAGGCTCTGTCATTTTGCAGCATCTAGTTGGGAGATGTTAAGTTTGTTGTCAGTTTAATTCTTGCTTCTTTTGTAGACGACTTGTTTTTCTCTCTGGAAGAATTCAGAATTTTCTCTTTGAAATTGATATTCTGAAATTTCACAGTTATGTGTCTAGGTATGAGTCTTTTCTCATGGTTTGTGCTGGGCTTTTTGTGGGCCCTAAAGACATGTTTTCTTCTTCAGCTTTGGGAAATTCTCTTGTATTTATTCTGTATAACCCCTATTCCTCTGCCTTCTTTGATTTTCTTCCTCAAACTCCTACTAATTGCGTATTGAACTGCCTGGGTTTATGTTCTATGTCTCTTATCTTCTACATCACATTATTCATCTTGTATTTCTGTTCAGAGAGATTTCCTCCATTTTATTTCCCAAAACTTATAATGATTTTTTTTCTAATGCGGCAATCATATTTTTATTATGTTAGAGTTTGTTTGAATGTTACTTTTCCATAAACTGGCATCCAGTTGAATCTCACTGAGGATGCCAATTCAAGCTTTTTAAATTTTTTGTTTTTCATTTCAGCTTTATTGAGGTATAATTGACAAGTAAAATTGTGAGAATATTAAAGTGTACATCGTGGTAATTTGATATACGTATACATTGTGGAAGGATTCCTCCTATCTAGTTAATTAATACATCCATCACCTCACACATTTATCTTTTTGTGTGGGTGAGAGAACATTTAAGTTCTGTTCTTAGCAAATTTCAATTATACAACACAGTGTGATCACCTATAGTCACTATGATTTACATAGATCCTCAGACCTTATTTAGCTTATAGCTGAAAGTTTGTATTCTTTACCAAACTCTCCCTATTTCCCCCAGCAACCACTTTTCTACTCTGTTTCTAGGAGTTTGACTTTTTTCCCCTTTTTTTTTCTTTTAGTTTCACATATAAGTGATAATATGAAGTATTTGTCTTTATCTGTCTAGCTTATCTCACTTAGCATAATGCCTTCCAGGTCCATGTTTTTGCAAATGGCAGGATTCCTTCTTTCTTATTGATGAATAATATTCCACTGTACATATATGCCACAATTCCTTAACCATCAGTCCATGGATGAACACTTAGGTTGTTTCCATATCTTGGCTATTGTGAATAATGCTGCAATGAACACGGGGGTGCGGATATCTCTTTGATATCCTGTGTTCATTTCCTTTGGTTATGTAGCCAGAAGTACAAGTGTTGAATTCAAGCTTTTTTAAAGGTTGTTTTCTGTTCTCAGAATTATCTCCGTGGTCACTTTTTCTATTTTCCTTGACTTTTTCCCCCTATTTACTCTTCTTAGTGTCTTTACTTTTTTTTCATGTTTTAGGGTTTTGAGTCTTCTTTTTTTAAAAAAAAGATATTATTCTTGTCTACTGCTTCTTGGTTTTTATAGCAGATGTAAGAATGATGTAAGAATGGAGAGACCCTACTCTGCAGACAGGGCTTGTTGGCTGATGGGTTTTGTTTAAGGAAAAGAGGTCAGGAAGCCAATAAGCTGGAGAACTGGATTTATTCTGTTGCACTGACTCCGAGATAGCCCCCTAGTACCCTCCCGTAAGAGTTTAATGTGGCTGAAAATGAAATCTCCTGTGTTTTTGCCTGGAATAAATGTTCAGCTGCAGAATTGTTCTGCATCCAAAGGTGAAGAGTCTATGTATGGACGTCCAACTAGTTAGTACCCTTCATTACAACCTCCTTTCTCTCTCCTACCCTCAGTGGTAAGTGCTGGAACTGTTCCACGGAAGTTCCTTTCTAGGTGTGTCCCAGAGTGTCACTATTTCTTTTCTGCTTCATCCACTGATGACACTCTCCATTTCCTCCTTTGTTGCATGTCTTATCCTTTCCTGCCTTTATAATCAGTTTAACGGAGTTTCAGAAGGCAAAGAAATTGATGTATATGTTCAGTGTACCATCTTGAACTGGAAATTTCTTCAACTTTTTAATAAAATGTTTAGAATGTGACTCAGGGTGTTTCTTCCCCCTCCCCAAGTACTACCATAATTTGAGGTGAATTAAGTGCCAGATAGACACCCCAAATGGCACCAGAGCCTCTCACTCTTCTGCCAGCTGCACCTCTAGTTACTCTCACTCTTTCCATCTACCTCAGCCACCCACCTCTGTATCTGCACAAGGACACCGGGCCTTGTCAGCACCTTGGACTCAAATCTTAAATTGAAACATGCTGCTTTCTGGTAACAACTTTTTTTTAATTCCCACTCTATCACGCAGATACTACTACAAAACCTGCTTTTCGCCTTGTCAAGATATGCAGCTTGTTAGCCCATTTAATTTCTTCCCTTTGTTTCACCTCCTCCTCCTAGATTCAGCCTCAATTACAGATCCCATCACTGTACCTATGTATGCTCTCCTGTCAGAATCTTAAACATGAACCAATCAAATTGTCTTATAGAATAAGACCTTCTGGGTTCATGTCCCATCTCTACCACCCACATGGCTTATGATCACGAGTCATAAGCTGTGTGACTTTGAAGAAGTTATTTAAATTTTCTGTGCATCCATGTCCTCATCTTTAAAATGACGATAATGATAGTACTAATGTTCTGAGGATGAGATGAGACAGTTATATATAAAGTGCTTAGAAAAGACTCAGGCTCAATAAAAGTATTCAATAAACATTAGTCAGTAGTAATAATATTCTCTAATTTAAAAACATTAATGAAATATCAGTGCACTTTAATAAGTTATAATAAAATACGTAAAATGCTTACACATTCAATTTATACCATTTAATCAGTCTTTCTTGATTAAGCATTTCTAAGGAGATTTGGTAGTTACATATTTTAGGTACATCAAGGCACCCAAAGAAATGGGTTATTTCTCTAATTTTTTTTTTCTAATCTAACTTTGATTGTTAACTCTCTGCACATCCAAGGAGAACTTGCCCTAATTATTATATTTAGAACCACTGACATCTAATTATAACATCTATTAAGGTAGTAGGTACCAATTACAAACTCGGAGGCATGTTGCCTCATATTCTCCCTGACATAACAATTGTGGTTTTAGGAAAGACCAGATTCAAAAAGTGATTTAAACTCTGTCAATTCTCGTTGATGCTGTTATGCCACTTCTTTCAGATCTATAGTTATGTGATAGTTATTAAGAGCTTTGAAGATCTCAGGAATCCTTCAGCTTGATCTCAAAATCTCTTTGATGATGGGATTCTGCTTAATTCCTTAATTTAAATAAGTCCTTGGAGGAAGACATTTTAACCCCAGGCAATGTATAATTACTGTTCTGATTACTAGACCCCCATTGTAACAGAACTCTAACCAAATTAATATTTTGGACACTATCCTTGTAGAGTGAGACTGTGGTCTTTTAAGACATGTATAACTATGTTCTCTGAAGATGGGAGGATTGTGCATATTTTAATGATAATGACTCTACCATCATACCTTTAAAATATATCTGAATAGAAAATCAGTGAGATGTCAATTAAATTAAAAATATTTATTACTATTGAATCAGCTTCAGGAGGTATTACAGAGAAGCAATGTAATATGATAACTTTGGGTTCTGTTGGAATCTTGGGCGAGTTATCTAATTTTTGGGGGCTCCATTTCCTAATCAGTAAAATGAGTTTTGGTTATGAGTTAAATGAAATAGTGTATTAAAGCTCTTTGTATATACCACTGAACTGGAAATATTTATTGAATCTAAGGAATCAGATGGGCATGCATGGACTTCTTAAGTGCAAATTCTTATTTTATAAAAATCAAGGTTTCTGGGGGCCCCTGGGTGGCTCAGCTGTTAAACGTCTGCTTTCGGCTCAGGTCATGACCCCAGCATCCTGGGATCAAGCCCCACATGAGCCCCACGTCGGGCTCCCTGCTTCGCGGGAAGCCTGCTTCTCCCTCTCCCACTCCCCCTGCTCATGTTCCCTCTCTCGCTGTGTCTCTCTCTGTCAAATAAATAAATGAAATCTTTAAAAAAAAAAAAATCAAGGTTTTCGTAGGCTCCACTCCTGCCCTCATACCCCTTACTTATCACTTGTCCTTAAATAATCTTAATCTTAGATTTTGGTTCATAAATGTATCTCTTTTTTTATTCTCCTACCTCCAAATAAAAAGACAGAATCCCTATTTATGCCTTCAGCATGGTCTTACCCCATTCACTCTCTATGAGTATATCACTGGATGTGTTTTCTAGGAAAACATCTAAATCAAACTCATTTTTGGCAGACACACAATGGCTATTGCTAAATAGTTCTAGAAATCTGTCTTAGTAAGCTAAAGATTTATGTTATAGTTAACTTTCCCAGTGGGCTTACCAGAATGTAGTCATATTCCAAATTAAGCCTTAGAAGGCCCATCTTTGGGAAAAGCTCAGTTGAACCTCTACTATCCTAATTCTTGCTCTTAGTTTTTTACAAGCAGAAGTCATACTTTCCATTTTTGTTGCATTTGAATAGATCCAGAGTCACTTTCTGAAAAAAGTCCCAGTCCTGACCAAAACTAGACCTACTCTATGGCTTACAAACATGGTATGTGGATTTCATGACTCTCCTCCTGGGTCCATGCTGAAGTCAACAGCCAATCACGAGTCTCTTTCCTACTAAGGGTGAACTCAGCCTGAGGCTCATTCTCAGCCAGCCTTCCAGAAAGAGAAAAGAAACATATAAGAACTTCCCTGTCCTGCTTGTACTAGAAAGTAAGCTCCCTGAGGACACAGGCTGAGGCTTATTCATATGTGTTTTCCTGACAGAGAAGCTGATTGGATGTTGATTCACTGTATAAAATAAGAATGGTAGTCAGTTTCCTCAATGTTTTAAAAAAATGTTAGCATAAGCATTTTTGTATTCACTCTGAAAGAAGAAAAAGCCAGTAAAGATGTTGTAATATTAAAACCATCCAAATTTTTGTGGGAGTCTCTGTTTGGATGAAAGCTAGAACACTTACACAGTATCTCAGAGGGATGGACATGTGAAGCTGTGTTAAAGCAACATGTCCCTAACCCATGGAATCACATGGAAAAACTCTTGACATCTTTACTTCTGTAGCTAGTCTCATTTTTCTAAAAACAGTTTAAACCAGTAAGAATTTTCCAGAAGTTGAATTTGAATCACCAACTTTCCAAGGAAAAAAATAAACAAAACTAAGTAAACATATTTCAGCCTCAAAATTCCCCCAACTCACTAACAGATTCAACTAAAATTTGTTCCTCTTAAAGCACCCCAATTTCTCTATAGAACCTATCAAATGAGTCTCTTGTGGACGCCCACACTTGGCTGCAATCCTAAATGGTACTCAGACCAGACACATGTCAGTGCATTTTTAATTGCTAAAGCGAATAGTATCCATTTTAATTACACCCTCATCATTTATTACAGTCACTCTTCAGAATGTGAAGTCTTGGAAATAACACACTAAAAAGTACTTGTGGACTCTGGGGCTTTGGCAGGCTGGGACAGAACTTCTGAGAACATGCTCTGTGAATTTTCCAAAGGAGGCAATCAATCTGAGAGGACACACACGGGAGCTGTTCATTTGGAACCTAGCTGGTGGCTTCTATCTCGGATTTGAGGATCTCACAATCAATAGATATGTCTGCAAGTATAGAGCATAACCTGGATATTACTCTTAATCATTGCTTCAGTTTGTAAAGAGCTGGTCCCATCAACTGCCAAAGAGGGAGGCTCATCTAGAATCCGGGTGGCTACATCTGTCTGCCAGTAAGTGCTTAATGACTCATTTTCCTCAACAGAATTTTCATAAGACTGGAATTCAGGGAGGGATGTCTGGAGAATGTCTGAAAGGAAGTTCGCAAGCCACCGTCCTGCTGTTTGCTGGAGAAAGCCTCCTATGGTAGCCAGACCAGTTGATTAAAGCAAACAGCAACAAATTTCAGTATTGTTTCCTCATTACCTTTCATGAACAACCCAGGAAATGTCACCATGAAGTTTTAGTCATTGTGAGAACACCATAAATTTCCAGAAAAGAAAATCATTAGTGGAAAAACTAAAGACAGTAGGTTAGCAATTGTGTTTATGTGGAACCACAGAATCTATCCAAGTGTCTTGCACTGAACCAGCCAGAATACTCCAAGAAACTGTTTTGTGTATGTATTTTTAAAAAATTCAGTCAACCTTTTTTTCTGATCTGTCGGGTTGACCAATTGCTTTGCAATTATATGGATTTAGCCAAAATGAAATTGTACTTAAGACTTAACTCTGTTTTCAAATGCTTTTTTATTTGTTTTAGAGGCTCTATAATTACTGAATGGTCTTCTCTCTCAGAATATATTCTGAGATGGAAGCAAAAGTATCACTTTTGCAAAGCCATTTCCATTCTTCCAAAGGTCTGTTGGTAAATTATTCTTACTGATCTTTCCATCTTTCTGGCCTGTGCATACACACCTAACCCATACTAAATTTCACCAGATGGCATTTTATTTCTTTAAAGTAAAGCAGCCGTGGGTTTAGACAGTTGAATTTTTAAACTTCTGTATTTACTGAAAGTGCATATGGTGCTATATGGACAAAGAAATTGTGCTGAAAGAAAAACATTTCTGTCCGCAAGTACCTCATAATTTCCCAGAGGAATAAAAATGTGCAGTTATGTGGTGTATGTCTCACAAAATCTTATATGGCTTTAATTTCCTTTCTCTGCTAAAAAAATAGATATATGTATATTGCGTGTACCTGGAGGTTGTACTATTTTAAATTCTTCTTCTGGTTGCAAATAAAATGGTTACAGAAAATGTGATCACTTGCCAAAGTGATCCGTAAGTGATTTCTAGAAGAAAATGAAACATAAACCCAACCTTGTTAAAAAAAAAAAAAAAAAACTAAAACCTCTGTCAACGTAAGCAGATGTTGGTGTTGGTGTAGAATTTACAAGGATGAGAAGGCTATAAAACCTCCCTTGAGCCACTCACAGTTCATTTCAAGGCCAAGAACGCCCCCAAAATCTGTTTCTAATTTTACAGAAATCTTTTGAAATTTGGCCCGGTATTCAAAAGTCCGTGGAAAGAAAAAAACCTTGTCCCAGCTTCAGTTTCCAACTCTGAAGACAGACTTGCTTCTTTCAACGGTTTTCACAGATCCGGTGACCTACGTTCTGAAGTCAGAATTAGCTAACTTTCAAAAACATCTGGAAAAATGAAGGTTAGTATATGCAGCCTCAGGTGTTGCTAAAGAAGGAGGACTGGCTGAGTTGAGTTCGATCACAGTTTTCTATTGTTTAGAAGGTGAGGATTTGTACATAAGTATGTACTTCCTGGAGTGGGTTGGGATTGGGAGATTGTTCTAAATATATTGTAGAAACATTTGTCCTTGGAGAGCTGGGAGAATTCCAGCAATTATAGCCAGATCAGTGGAAAACAATCAAGGGCTTTGTGGGGAGGGAGAAATAGGATTTAGGTGTAAATAAAATCTTGCCATTTCTACTATTTAACAGAAACTGTGTATATGTCAATTTTCTTTATCTTATGTAGACGTGGTTAAAAATTGTATTTGGAGTTGCCACTTCTGCTGTGCTTGCTTTATTGGTGATGTGCATTGTCTTACGTCCTTCAAGAGGTAAGAATTTTCTCTGATTTGCTCTATCTGCCTACGATAGCTTGGAAAGTGCACTAATGCATGGTCACAAGTGATTGAACATTTCCTAAGTGCTTATTTCCCAAAGTAAGTCTGTTATTTCTAAGAAGACATATAAGCTCACAGATATGTTGTTGAGCAACCAGAAATACTGAAGAATTTAAGGCACGAGTAGGAATATTCCCAGGATTACTTCAGCAATAGAAAAACCTAAGCACTATTCCGTATCACCCCCCCCCCCCCACAATATCTGTTAAATTACAAGTCTGGACAGGCCTTTAGAGAAAATATTTTTAACTAACATTTCTTTTCATTATTGTAAAGATAAGTAAGAATGGAAAAGTCAAAACAGCACCTATGGAGTTTTGTATTATGAGACTTTCCAAAAATGTAGGGAGGCAGCAGCAAATAGAGATCCCAGGAATAGCTACAGAAAAGGTGAAATTGTTGCTCTAGATAAGGTAGCAATGAAAAATCAGGTTAGAAGACTATTATCAAGAAAGCATTAAGTGATAAATCGATCCTTTTAGAAGATTAACATTGATTTCAGTTTGCTGTCAGATGGAAGATACTATGAACTGATATTGGGGCTAGTTTGAATTTAAATTAAGACTCTGTCTGCAAATAACCCAGTGATATTAGGGGAATAGGTTCTTAGGAAATGGTTGATGAAGAGAAGCTCAAATTCTAAAACAGGAAAAAATTACAACAAAAACACATCTTGTGTCTTGGGGTCTAGGGGAAGGGGGAAAGTTTGTACTAATAAATGTTAAAAAAAAAAAAAAGCTTATGGTAGCTAAGATGGGAAATATTTTTGGTTACAGATTAACTAACAGTAAAGGAAGACCAATGGTAAGGCTTTAGCTAAAAAATGATCTGTTGTTCTAAAAAATGAAATATAGAAAAATATTTTGAAAAATTCAACATGCTAGTGGGATTTTCACAGAATTACAAAATGGAGGAGGAAAACAGTGTTCTTATATCTTCAGTGTTAATCTTTAGTCCTTATTTCTGCTATCTGATGGCATTTGATTACTCTTAGGATGCTGAGATGTGTGTGCGCATCCATATTTTTCATGGTTTTTCAGGTTAAAATTGTCTTCAGACCAGTGTCTCACCTCAGTGGTTTTGGGCCATATTTGCCTCATATGAGTAACTGTCAGATGGCAGATTAAGTCCAATTGGCCTATTGAATGCTAATCCATTCAAAATTAACTCCTTCTTTGGAAAGAAAATCACCAATACTTGAAATTCACATTTTGCTCCCTCAAAAATTAATGTTCTGAGAACAGAAGTGTATGGAAATTATTGTGAGCTTACCCCATGTCCACAGGCAAGATTGGATTGCAATGGCACTTTGGAATTTAAGCCATAAATTTTCATGAGCAACGTACTATAGTTATACATTTATAAAAAGTATATAAGTATACGACACATAGAAATTTGTGTCATTATGCACAATCTCAATCCTTACCTTCTTCCCAAGTTTAGACATGTATCTTATACACATAAATATATGTTATAAACTACATATGGTATAAAATCCCTGTCATTTATAACATAGTTTTCTGTTTCAACCAACAGGATTATTCTCAGGGCAAAGTAATTTCCTGAAAGAGTCAAATAATCAAACTAAACTTTAGATGAAATTTTATTACTCTGAGCAACAGAAAAATCATAAAAAAGCTGAGAACTGTATCTTTTCTATTTATAATATTCTCCGTCTATTCTAAATTGGCTGAAGACCTTCTCAGAATGCCACTCGAATAACTTGTACATGGGACTATTCATTGCCCCATTTCCTGAGCAGGACCAGGGTCAAAGCCCTCCTTCCCACATGTCTGTGTACAGGCCCCTGATGCTCAGTGCATCCTTCTGTCCTCCCCTCCTGTTTTCTCACCCCACTCCTTAATCACCCCAGGTCTGGAGCTTCCCTCTCACCTCCACCCAGTGCCTGGTGAGAGTAGCATCTAAGGTACTAAGGCAGGAGAAGGGAAGGAGGAACAGAGAATTCAATGCCAAGTTAGCTTCCAGTTAGCCTTCTCACACTTCCTCAGAAATCCCATTACCTCACATTGGCCTTAGGTGCCCTCATATTCTTAGCCCAGGATCTCTGCGCCAGCGTATAAACAGTCTTCCTTTGAGAAACTTAAAGACCCGCTTAAGAAACCTGGGTTCACTTATTTATTTATTATCAAAGTAAATCCCACCAATGACCTGCCCATCATTGTGCCAGTTGCCGGGGAAACAAAGGTGCAGTGGTCTAGGTTTCCTTGTGAAAGGCAAGGTAACCCCCCCCCCCCATGGAGGCATGGTCATCACCACCAGAGGGGATTTCTGCTGGTCCATCCCCACCAGGTCCCAGTGAAAGAAGGGGAGAAATGGGCTTTTCCACACAGGGAGAAGGTCCCAGAAACGCCAGCCTCAGTTCTTAAAAGAGCTGTGGAGGAATTAGGCAGGATTTTGGGAACAAATAGGAAAATGTAGTAGTGAAATGAAAAAGATCCATTTAGATCACCCACATAATAATAAACATAAGGGACAACTTTTTTGGAAACTTCCAAAATTTCCCATTTTTATTTGCACCAAATGGGAAACACATGTGGGTTTCTATTCCTTAGTCCCAGGCCATCCCCTTTTGTCTCAGTCTACCGCCGATCCGTGGTTGCCCTTTCTAGTCTCCTGCCTCTATTCACTTCCTCTTTTCTTCCGAAGCATCACTCCACTTCCCCTGTGAAGATGCAACCAGGCCAAGAACAGAAACTAACCTCCACACCTTCCCCTCATTTTTGCCAACCCCAAAGACAAATGCACAGATCTTATTTCAAGAGATTTCATGAGATAAACACAAACATACAAAAAATTGGAATTGGAAAGCGATAAACGTTCCAGAATTTCATAAGTGAATTCTATATGGCCTTGCCTCACAATTTACAGTCTCTGACTTCCTGGACCTGAGTTTGTGAAATTTGTGTGTGAAGGGACAGGTAGGTGTGAACGGCCCTCCCGTTGACTTCTACTGAGTGTAGAGCTCCCGACATGAGGATAAGCAGATGTTCCATTGATATTAGCTATTATTTTTCTACAATTTAACATAAGTAGCTGCTGAAATAATGACAGCTAGAATTTTATTGTGGTCTTCATCCTAATATATGCATAACACAAAGATGGCAAGTAGGCCCTACTGTGTAATGTATTCCAATTTCAACAATGTTCTCAATTCTGAGAGTAGGGAGTCTTTACGCCTGGGTATCATTCCTGTTCCTAACCCCCACCTCCTTGGCTCAAAAACAAATATTTTTCAGAAACTTTTGCATGCAAAGCACTCATACAGGACACTAGCAGCTCTGACGCAAAAGCAAGAGAGACAAAAGTGAGAAGATAAAGGAAGTTGGAGATGGGGGTAGAGGATAAAGTTGAAGGAAAGAAAAAAGAAGAGGGGGGAATGCGGGGGGGGGGGGAGAAATCCTGGGCAGTGCCTCTAGTACCTCCCAGTGAAAGGAGAACCACTGTAAGTCCAGCCTCAGAGCTCCCTGAAATCCTTTGTCTACCTTTAAACGTTTTGCCTTTTACTGTTGTTTTGGGTTTGCAGTATTTTATACAAATTTGTATAGTTGCTAGTTTTTAAAAATCGGCAGATTTCACATAAAAATCTTAGATTCTTGACTCCTCTTTAAATATTAGATCTGGCAGCATTGGGCTCATGGTAATGGCTAGTTGAGAAGTACGTGTTACCTTTAGTGGGGCAATGCATTCTCCAGTCTGCCACAGACCCTACAACTTTGTATTTTATTGTGCTCAAGCTACCACATTCATTTACAATATCGACTTGGTTTCTAGAAAAAGTTGGATTTTTTTTAAAGATTTTATTTATTTATTTGAGGTACAAAGAGAAAGCACAAGCAGGAGGGAGGGGCAGAGGCAAAGGGAGAAGCAGGCTCCCCATTGAGCAGAGAGCCCAATGTGGGACTCGATCCCAGGACCCTGGGATCATGACCTGAGCCGAAGGCAGACACTTAACGACTGAGCCATGCAGGCGCCCTGAAACACTTTGATTTTTAACCCTTGGACTAGAAGAAGTATATGGTTCCTCCCGGATTAAAAATAACAATCTACTGAATATGAAAAGCCTGAGATGAACAGCCCACAGTTATCCAATATCCACAATGTCCAGTCCATTGTGGCTCCTAGACATGTCGATTATTTGTCCAACAATTATTTGTTAAGCACCTTCCAAAAAATTGCCACTGGTCTAGGGCATGAATGACAAGGGCTCCACCCTTAGGAAAGAGCAGTCTGGTAATAAGCAAGTAAACAAATATGTAAGATATTTCAAATTCCTTAAAGTGTTACATAGAACAACTAGAGTGAGGGTTGTGTTAGACCTCTAGGGCTGCCAGAACAGAATACCACAGACTGGGTGGCTTCAACAGCTGACATTTATTTTCTCCCAGTTCTGGAGGCTGGAAGTCCAGGATCAGGGTGCAGACAGGTTTGGTTTCTTTGGAGGCTTCCCTCCTCTGCGTGTAGATGGCTGCCTTCTCTCTGTGTCCTCACATGGCCTTTTCTCTAATGCACACATACTCCTGGTGTCTCTTTCTCTTCTTATAAGGACACCAGTTATACTGGATTAGGGCTCCACTATTAAATTTTATATAATCTTAATTATGTGCCTCCTTAAGGGCACTGTCTCCAAACACAGTCACACTGATGGTTAGAGCTTCAGTCTTTGAATTTGGGGGACACAATTCAGTCTGTAATGAAGCTCGTCCATGAGGCTTCTCTGAGGTGATATTTGAGCTGAGACCTTAAGGACAGGAAGGACACAATCCTTAAGGCAGGGATAAATCCTCAATGCAGAGGAAAATGCAGGCACAAAGTCCCTGAGGCAGGAGAGTGAATTCAAGGAGCCAAAAAGAGAATGATAGCTGTGAGGTCGAGTTACATAAACAAGTTAACACAGGAAAATATGTATATACATA